AGCCGCGGCCTGCCTTGGAGTTCAAGGCTCCATTGGAAAAGCGGAAGATGCCAGAGCTAACCGGTGAGTACTCCCGCCAAAGCCTGCGCTTAGCTCCTGAAATTTTGAAAGATAGAAAATCCACCGTGGTTTTGGTGTGTAATTCGTTGAAACTCGCCGCGTCGCTTTCCCGTTCCTGCTTCGCGTTTTCCATCCAATGGTTTCCACTCGTGGTGTTTTCAGGCCTTGCGCAGTTTGTGGATCAGTTCGCGGAGCAGAACGAGACGGAGTACGGCCCGCCGACCACCAAAGGAGAGACCAGAGTACGTAGATCTTAATCACCATCCTGCTCATAGTCCATCTTCGTCGTTCAGGCGACGCGCGGATTTACTGTTCACGTTGAACGATCGCGATGGTACCCTTGGTGGAGCTACTGGTTAGTTCCTGACACTTCTAGTGTTGACCTCGGAATCTAACTTGGCGTTGATGGCCCATCGTGGCCGGGGTGATATATGTTGGCTGGGGCGGGATTGTTCTCTTGGGGTTTTATGGCGTGAGGGAATAAGGGGGGAGGGTCGGAGGTGTGAGTGTGACTGCGGAAACTGTTATGGAGGAAGGGTGTGGGTGAGTGGAGTGCGTGCGTGCGAGCGTGCTTGCGTGCGTGCGTGCGTTCGTCCGTGTATGTGTGCGTGTGCGTGCGTGCAGGAAGAGAAGAAGCAGCGTATTCGCGCGGCGAAGCTGGAGAAGGGCCGCAAACAGGTCGAGGAGGCACTTGCCGAGTGTAAGCGCATCCATTGCTTACTGCCTACCGCCGAGTCTCCATCGTCTTCTTCCGTGCTTACCGCCGTTTCACTCGCACGCTTTCTAAATCTACTGGTCTTATTTTCATATCCTTCCGCGTTTTGTTGTCGTTGTCGTCATCTCGATTCTTATGTACGTTCCCCTTTCCGCGTCTTCTCCAGACAACCCGTCTGCCGACCCCAACATCGAGGGCGACTCGTACAAAACCCTCTTCGTGGCTCGTGTCGTAAGTATTGCCCTGCCTTAGTTTTTTCTCCTTGTCATCTCCATCTCCTGCTTCTCGTTTCCCCTCCAACCCCCATCTCCGCGAGATTGAAATCCCGTCAAATACGACCTCGTCCCTTACTTCATTGTCAGCTCCCAGCACTTTGAGTCTCATCCGTTCGATGTACGTCTTACAACGTGTAAGTTCTTTTTGTGATTTCCGTCCCATTTCCCATCCCCGGCTGGCTCCCATCAGAGCTACGAAACCACGGAGACTAAGATACGTCGAGAGTTTGAGGCATATGGGCCAATCCGTAAGGTAAGCCCACTGATGCTGCTGCGTCAGTAGCAGCACCCGCGACTGCCATACCGCGCTCGTCTCCTTGCCGCTCTATGCGCTCCTGCCTGTTGTCGTGTGTTTGTCTTTGTCTGTGTGCTAATGGTTATATCAATGTCTGGCTTTTGCCTGCCATTGTGCGTGTGCGTATGTATGCATTGCGAATGCGTGTGTGTGGCCATGTGTGTATGCGTGTATATGCACGTGCGTACATGTGGCATCAGGTGCGTGTGGTGACGAGCACAGTGGACAACAAGCCGCGCGGCTACGCATTTATCGAGTACCACCACACACGAGACATGAAGAGTGCGTCACCTCTACCCTCTCGGTTTTCCTCACTTTCTGCACTCATCGCTCTAGTACATTCCGTCCTTTGTAAATACCTACCTTTCTACCCTACTCGTTGCGCGCACTCATATATACCAATCTCCCCCTCCCACTCTCCCCTCCTCGTCCCTCCTTTTTTGCATTCCCTGAATTTCAGCTTACGCCTCTCACTTATCTTCTCCTGCCTCAACGTTTCTCCCTGGCTCCTCTCCCTTCCTCCCTTCTCTTCACCCCTCCCTCTATGTCCTCCCGCCCTCGGCGCCCCCTCCCCCCTCTTTCGGTCCTCCCCCCTGGTCCTTGGTGCAGCGGCGTACAAGCAGGGCGACGGGCGCAAGATTGACAACCGGCGTGTGATAGTGGACGTGGAGAGGGGGCGCACCGTGCCCAACTGGCGCCCGCGCAGGCTCGGCGGAGGGCTGGGCTCCACGCGCATTGGCGGCGACGAGGTCAACCAGAGGCACTCCGGGCGGGACCCTCCTGCTGTTGTTGCGCTGCCGCCCCCGCCCCGCTTGGAAGAGCGACCGAGAGAGAGGCCTGTGGAAAAGTGCGGGAAGCAAGGGAGGGGATATGGGAGGGGAGGGGGGGGGGTGGAGGGGGAGATGTTTTTGGGAAGATGAGTTTGCGTGGTGTGGAAAGGATTTGGGGGGGATTGGAATGAGTTGTTTACGCTCTGATTGATTACTTTCCCTTCTGCGTTCAACTTCACCACAATCTTTCCACCCCGCATCTTCCCTCTGTCTCCTTTCCTATGCGCCCTGCTTCGCACTCTTGCTTTCGTTCAGTCTTCCTATATCCTTCATTTCCTCGCGTCGCTTCTTCCCATCTCTCTTTCACCTCCCGTTTTGGGCACACCGTTGTTCCACGTTCACAATTCTCCGTGTTCCCCTTCCACACCCCCACTCCCTGCCTCTTCTGCCTGCCCAACCCGCACTCTTCATCGTTGCTCGATTCCCGTCTCCCATCTCGGACTGTGGTTTCAGGGCGGCGGAAATTGGACCTCCTGAGCGAGCCGAGGCTGTGAAGAAGGAGGAGGCTCCGCTTGAGGAGCGGGCGAGAAGCAGAGAGCGCGATGGAGATAGGGGCAGGGAGAAGAGTAGGGAGAGGAGCCGCGAGAGGAGCAGGGAGAGGGACCGTGACAGGGGCAGGGACAGGGATCGCAGGAGGGATCGTGACAGGGATTATGATCGCAAGGACAGGGATAGGGAGAGGGACAGAGACAGGGATTACGACCGCAGTTACCGCTCACGCTCGCGTGACCGAGAAAGGTACGCTTCCAGGTTTGTTTGAGCTGCGGCGCTCAGCTCTCTCTCTTGCTTCCAATGGTTATTATACATAAGAGACCTCAAGAAGAAGGCGAAGTTGAGCACGCGAGTCGTGTTATGCAACCTTCAGTGACTGCAGTTTGGGTTGTGGCTGTTGACTGCGGTTTTTGAAGAATGGAGCTTGCATGTTGCCCTTGTCTGTTTCTCTCCCTGCAGGGATCGCTAGGGTGGGAGATGATGGTCGTGTTGCCAATGGTGCAGCAGGTGTGTCGTGCTCGTTCTAGAACCTATGATGGTGAGAATGGCCGCCTGCCTGCACTGTTCGCTCAGCAGTGCTTCACCCACCGTCATACCACCAAGGCAGAAGTGCACCTGCATCTGCATGGCTCATCATTCTCCTCTCAGCATCCATCGCTCGTGACTGCAACCTGCTGCTCACATTTGCAGCCTCCAGGCCAGGGTGTTTTGCTGGTTTCGCCTGGTTTCGGTTCTCTTCTGTAGCTGTCTGGGTAGGTGCGGCCGCTGGTTTGGCTTGTAGTGGGGTAAAGGGGTCAGGATGATTAGCGGGGAGGGGTGGGGAGCTGAGGGGTGGGTAAGTGGGGGTGCAGGTTGTTTAGAAGCATGTGCCAGCTTTGCTGCTGCTGCTATTTCTCGTTTCGGGCCTGGTAAGGGCCTTTCCAGTGTGTGTCAAGTGGTTCCCACAAGGACCTTCACCACTGCGACTTGGTTGCCCTCGGCACGGGACCCTCTTGATTGCGTGCATCTCATCATCCGGATTCAGACTGACCAGAAAATGGTAATGAAATGAGACAAGGTATTATGCGTGTCCCTTGCATTGCATTTTTTTGTTGTAGTTTTGTTTTGTACCTGGCAGTTCGTAAGTATCCGTGTACTGTCCTGTTCTGGTTCTCAGACTAGGTACGGTTCTCCATTCAGGACCAAGGGTTGATGGTGGGTCACACCCTGTGTCCTTTCTAGAGGTGGCTTATGTAGAGTATTCAAAGGCAGTAACAGATGTCTTGATGGAAACAGGCATAGGTTGCGACTTTCAGTGCGGTACCTACTTTAGATGTCCATGCAGTGCCGTTATATTAGGAACCTCAGTTGGTAGTGCGTCTAGTGGAATTAGTCTCCAGTAGGTCCCTTAGCTGACGGAAGCATGTGACAGCATTGATGACTGATGGTTGTGAAGACAACCATTTTTGGTGACAGCGGCTGTTTGGGTCAGGTTCTGGATATCGACTGGTATTGTACTGGTATCAAATTTGCAGGCTATTGAGTAGCTAGCAGATGTCTTTGAGAGCTACGAAATTGATTTGAATCGGGGACCTTGGGAGAAGAGCTAAATGAAGGAAATCGAAAGCACGTGTTACAGCAGATTATCCTAAAACAAGGTAAGGTATTAAAGTTCAACTGGTTTACAACTACCGTACTCCCATATGTTTCAAAATACACCCGTCACATACGTCTAGAATAACTCTAGCGAGAACAGATGGGTTGACCGACATCAACTACCAGCCTAGCCAAGTGACTGCACTCACCTACCCCAACTGCCCATCTGCTTTCGGTCCTGATTTTTGATCCCTTGATCCTGATTCGCTGATTTTTATTTCCCTGTCCTGATGGTTTCTCTAGCATCTGCAAGCCAACGGTCTCAAATGCAACCAACTCTTTCACAGAAATCTGCATTGAGCGCCTGATGCAGTTTCGAGAATCGAGGGGTATTTGGATGGAGGTTGCTGCTCCTTCCCTAGTATCGGTAATCGTTGCGACTGGTGTTTATTGTACATGATAAGTTATCGCGAGCCATGACATTTTGAACTTTCGTTCATAAATAAGGTTGCTTTTCCTTGAGCACTGGAGCTACGGTTGTTCGACAGACATTCGCACGTTCTAACTTGCAGCACATCCGTCGCGCGAACATGGCGAATCATCCATTATGGAACAAACTTGCAGTGGCATGGCAAAGAAACAAGGCCATGCTTCAGATCGCAATTCCAGCGACGATCGCATTGGCCTTCATTCTCGCAGTTGCTTTACAACCGGTGACCCACGGCGCTCCTGAAGAACTTGCAGCCGCATTAACAGAAATGGATGAATCCGATCCGCAAAGCAATATCCTGCCTGGCGGTAACATGCTTAACGTTGACGGATCGGGAGTCGACGGTCTAGACGCAGGTGCAGGTCAGCCAGCGACGGGAAATGGAGCGGCTGGCCTCCTTCGTGGAAACAGTCCTGCAGGAGAGGGAGCGACGAGTCAATCACAGAGTGAATCCAGTAGCGGGAAATTGGCAAGCGGGGATACAGGATCCGGTGGTGGTGGTGGAGCCGGCCAAGAGTACACGATGGAAGCCCTTCCTACAGCAAGACAAGTGGAAGGAGCCGCTGTGTGCCACGAAGAACAGTCGTTCTGGGTAAGCAAACCGCGGCTCTTCTGATTCAACTAACTTAGCTCCTATCTGCTGCGAAATTTGAGGTAGTTTCCTTATCCTGCATTTCTTGGAATTGCCGAGAGTGCGCCTCCTTCTGCAAGTGGATTCTGATTGAGCTATATTATCTCATTGCTAACTCGGATCAAGATTGAGTTACCCATAGATTGACCTGCTTCGCACATGTTTATGGTACCCCAACCCCTTAACCCTGAACCTTGTTCCAAAGTTGTTACTCGGTCGAGGTGATTGAGTCCCAACCTTTGTCTCTCCCTCCCCCCCACAGGTAAACTCGCGCTTGCGCACGGTGGCGTGCAACACATCGCAGCCGTTGATCACGAATGCACCTGACATGCTTAACAACATCTTCGTGCCGCTCTACGCCTGCCCCTTCCAGGAACGCCTCGGGCCCTGGGGCGAAGGCGGCAAGGTCAGTCACACATGGGAGGGGAGGGCTTGAAACAAAATTTTGTACCTGGAAAGTTGAATCTATAAGTATTATAAGAAATTGCTGAATAAGAAGTTGAGGAACGCAATATTGAAAATCCAGTTTCGTTTTCTGAAAGTCAGTAAGGTACCTCACGTCCCTTTTTTTGCAACCTTGATTAACTGCGTGGTTATGTCACCATTGTCTCCCTCTTTTCCCTACCTCAATCCTCTTTCAGTGGATATGTAATGTGCCATCAGCAATCCAGCCCAATCCTATCGTCTACAGGTACGATAACGTCTGTTTGTCTTACAGTCATGCCAATCAGGCCTTACATCCATGCGCCACCAATGCTTCTCCCAAAGCACTTAAACTGCCAACAAAGCAATGCTAAGGCGTTAGCCCGTGCGCCACATAACTTCCCTAGCCCTTGTCAAGCCCCTAGCGGGTTCTCAGACTCAATGCTTGAAAGCATGCCCTGCTCTCCGCCTTCAGGAGTGCACGGTTCACTCCTCTGACTTTCCAACCTCGTATTCCCTTTTTGCCTTCCCTTCCCTGCACTCCCTCTAACCGCAGCATTCACTCCAGTGCAGCGTACGGGTTTGAGCTGGCGGCGTCCATAGCGCTGCACACGCGGCCGCACGTGTTCAGCTCGTCGCTGTCGGGGGCGCAGCAGGCGGCAGTGAAGGCGGAGGCGCACGTGGAGTTCCACGAGGTGGGGCTGGCGCTGGCCAAGGACGCCAAGCCCACAGACGTCTCTCTGCCCGACCTGCTCGCCTCCACCAAGCACACCTACGTGGACGTGCTCTACCTCGCAGCCCCCTGCCCGGAGTGCGAGGTTGCCTTCATCCGCCAACTCAACGCCTCCTACGGCTCCAACCCCGCCTCCGGCCTCTCCCGCTCAGGCGGCCTCCTGCCCTTCGGCCAGATCATGATGCTGCTCAGCCAGTAAGCCCTGTCTTGCATGTGTGTCTGCTTTTGCATGCACCTATGCTTGCATTGCATTCACATGGTTATGAGTTCAATCCAGGCTGCGGCTGTGGCTGTTGCTGTTGCAACCTTAAAGCAAGTAACTGTGTTCATCTTGGTATCCTCCTGCACAGAGAATAATACATGGTATGGTGGGATGTGGGAATGGGTGGTGGTCCTGATTCCTATCTTTGTTAAAACCCCATGTTCAGTATGATACACTAGTTCTTGTGTCAATCTACTCAATCTACATAGTTGTTTACTCCTGTGTGTGTGTGTGTGTGTGTGTGTGTGTGTGTGTGTGTGTGCGTGCGTGCGTGCGTGCGTGCGCGTGCGTGCGTGCGTGCGTGCGTGCGTGCGTGCGTGCGTGCGGGTGTGCGTGTGTGGGTGTGGGGTGTGTGTGTGTGTGTGTGTGTGTGTGTGTGTGTGTGTGTGTGTGTGTGTGCGTGTGTGCGTGTGTGCGTGTGTGTGCGTGCGTGCGTGCGTGTGTGCGTGTGTGCGTGTGTGCGTGCGTGTGTGTGTGTGTGCGTGTGTGTGTGTGTGTGCGTGTGTGTGTGTGTGTGTGTGTGTGTGTGTGTGTGTGCATTACTGTGCGTGGTTGGGGGAGATGGCACTGCATGCGACCATTGATGGGATGCCTTTGTCTGTCTCTGCATGGGCTGTGCGGGATGACACCACGTGAATCAGCATAGGGCAGACGCGGCAGATGCTGGAGGTGGAGTACACGTTGGAGAATCTGGGGTACCGGTTGTTCCACGTGGAGACCAAGCCCAGCGGCCACCTCGAGGTGGCCTACATCCACGCCTCCCTCGTGCAGCCGCCCAACCCCGCTGACTGCCCCGTCGACACTGCCGGTCTCAAGTACCCTGACCACCAGCAGATCGACGATGCCTCGCTGTGCCACGCCGAGTCTACCTATCAGGTGGGTCGTTGTCTAGAAGGAGGAGAGTTTCAGAGCCAGAAACTGGAGGTTGGCGTTTGCAGGAATGGTTTGGGAGAGAACATCTGGTACCTGGTTGAGTGGCGAAAGTGAGGAAGGGGATGGCTGATACTCGCACCATGAACCATGGAACACTTTCTCGCTGTCCTTCTCTCGAATCCAAACCCCCCTTTCGTCCAATCATCTCTCATCTGAGCTCTATTTGTTTGTTGTCCCGTTGCCAGGTGAACATGGCGCTGCGGCGGGCAGCGGTGGGGGCGGAGCAGCCGGTGACGCTGTCGCTGGCGGAGATGAAGGAGCTCATCTACGTGCCGCTCTACCCCTGCCCCTACGAGGAACGCATCGGCGAGTGGGGCGACGGCGGCAAGGTGCGCCCTCTCCCCAACCTGCCTCCTAAAGAACCATGCGTTGCCTTTTTGTCTTGAATAATGCTCTTCCCTTCGTCACCAAACTCCGGAACCGTTTTTGCTTTGTGAACTCTTGCATTTCCAAACAAGCCAAGTCCACCATCAACATTTGCTGCCAACCCACTTCGCATAAATCGTCCATCCTTGTTTTTCCATGAACCCTTGCAGTGGATCTGCATGATTCCAACAGCTTTACAGTCAAAGCCTCTCGTGTACAGGTACTCTCTCCCTCTCTCTCTCTCCCTCTCAAACGTTCCATTATTATCGATGCATAGAGTATAAGCATGCAGGGGAGTGCATATATCAGCCAAGGACAGCATTATTACTACCTCGTATAGCTACTATCAGTTCTCTTCTAAGCAAGCTCCAAGGTTGGCTTCAGAATGACAAGGCAGTCCCAGGGGGACATGTCCTCGTCCGGGGCGCCCATTGGTGGGTTATCCTCTTGGGGCGCCATATTGCATTTCGCCATGTAGGATACTGCATGCGCACGTTGCAACGCCGCTGACCAGCGCTGGCGGAATTGGTGCAGTAGTTAAGCCGTCTGGTAGGTAGTCGGTTCCGCATTGAAAATCTTGCGGGCGGCAGTGTGGGCCAGCAGCTTAAGGAAGTCGACGACCCCCGAGCAAGGGCAGCCATACTTTTCAACAGCTAGGGGGTAGATCCCCATGTATAGCGCCGTGGAGTTGCGGCAGTCAGACACCTTCTTGTCTGCCACCTCACGTGCTGCCCAGCCCCTTCCTTTGGTCGCCTCGGTGTCGCGGGTGCTAATTGGGTCAGTAATAATAAATTCGCAGATTCACACCGCCCCCAAGGACCGGTCATGTATGGCCAAATCCTTTTTTTCGTTATCCACTGGGCAAAAGGCCGTTGTCTCCTTGTGCACCATAAAGCCGGCATATTGCGCCATCCGGATGCACTCTTCCCTGAGTTCATTGTGGGTATTGGTCCTTCCCCCTCCAGTGGCGCAGCAAAATAGGTGGTTTCTGGTATTGTGCCAGAAGGATCAAAATGCTGCAGCTTGGACCTCTTCCCTTCCTAATTCTTCCTGTTTCATGCTGTTGTTGTTGTTGTTGTTGTTGTTGCTGTTGTTTTTTTTTTTTTTGTTTGTTTTTTTTTTTTTTTTCAAAAACATATATTGTTATTTTCTGTTCGCTGCTCCAGTGTGGGGAGCAACGAGCAGTTTGCGTTTGAGCAGGGGATGGCGGAGTCGGTGCGAACCAAGGCGTTCACGTTTGACCCGTTCATCACGGCGACGCAGCAGGCGCACATGCGGTCGCTGCCCTTCCTGCACTTCCACGCCATTGGTGTGGCGGGCGAGGAGTCGCTGGCGTACTACCACAAGCAGAACCCCGACTACGACTTCAAGACGCTGGCGCAGCTCATGCTCTTCCTCAACCACACCTACGTCGACGTGCTCAAGATCGACTGCGAGGGCTGCGAGGTCGCCTTTGTGCGCGACATCGCCCGCGCCTACGGCTCCGAACCCGCCACCCTCGCCAGCAAGGGTGGTGTGCTGCCCTTCGGCCAAGTGCTCATGGAACTGCACCAGTACGTTCGCCTGCCTCCTTGCTGTTTGATCTCTCCATTCAAATGCGGCTATTTTGCTCACTTTTGTTGTACGTATTTCTTTTCTCTTGTGGTTTTTACTAAAAAAAAATGCTCACCCTCTTGCACCTAGTGCCTTCGCACCCCTCCCACCCACGCTTTTTGACTGCAATTGCAGCCCTTCCTGTGTATTATAACCCCCTCCTCATTTCTCCTCCTCCTCCCACCCCCCTTCCCCCACACCCCCCTGGCTGCTGTGGCAGGATCACGAACACGAAGGCGATGCTGGCGCTGCTGTACACGTTTGAGAGCCTGGGGTACCGGCTGTTCCACGTGGAGACGAATCCGCTGTGCCTCATCTGCATCGAGGTGGCCTACATCCACGACTCCCTCCTCCAGCCCGCCAACCCCCACGCCTGCCCCAAAGCCCCCCTCAACGACCCCGCCACCCTCGCCAAAATCTCAGCCACTGGTGGTGCTAGAGCTGCTGTTTCCTCAAACCAGGACACTGCAGAGGCAGCCAAGGACGTTCCAGCAGCAGCTAAGGAACCTGAAGCTGCACCCGCAGCAGCTGCAGCAGCATCAGAGGCAGAGGCAGGTGATTCAACTGCAGGGGTTATTGCCCCAGTGACAGATACAGTAGAGGGAGACAAGGAGAAGCCTGCTGTAGAAACAGGGTTGGGAGATGCAGAGAAGGCAGCCAAAGCAAAGGAGGTGGCTCATTTGGGAGGCGAGACAGCAGTGCCAGGTGCTGGTGCTGCTGATGCTACTGATGCTGCCAGTACTGCCAGTCCTGCTGAGACTGCCGATGCAGCTGGTGCTGCTAATGTTGCTGAAACTGCCAGTGGTACCGCCACCACTGATGCTGCTGTTCCTGATGCAAGCGCCGAGAGCCCTTTAGAGTCTAGTTCTGCCGCTGGCAGCAGCGGTACGATCGCTTCTGGGTTGAGTTTGTCAGATCCAGATGATTCTAGTGTCGAGTCTACCGGTAACGCTTTGAGCCTCATCAACAGTATAAACGTCAGCAGCGGTGGCGCCAACACAGGCAGCACCAGCAGTAGCACTGACGGCAGCAGTAGTGCGAGTAGCAGCAGTGTTATAGTTGCTAGTGGGGCAACGAGTGACATTGCATGGAAGGAGCCGCTGGGGGATACAAGCCATGTAGATGGTTCTGCGCTCTGCCACGCTGACCGCTCTTATTATGTGAGCGCCACACACATCCATTGCACAGCCGGAAATACACCATCAAGATGCAACAGCTTATTTCCTTTCGCTCTTATTGTAATCTGCAACATTTTGTTACGCACAGTGTTTTTTTCCTTAAACCTCACCCTCCTGGTTGTGATGTTTCATGACTTTTCCTCATTGTATTCCGTATTTGCATTCTTGCTGCTGCCTTCTTATTTATTCCCTCTTAGGTTAACTCGCGCCTGCGCACGGTGGCGTGCAACGCATCGCAGCCGTTGATCACGAATGCACCTGACATGCTTAACAACATCTTCGTGCCGCTCTACGCCTGCCCCTTCCAGGAACGCCTCGGGCCCTGGGGCGAAGGCGGCAAGGTCAGTCACACATGGGGGGGCCTGTGTGTGGGTTGAGCATCATTTGTTTCTCTCCCTGTGGCTCTGCTTTGCCTATTCAAACGTTTACTCGCCGTACCTGCGCATCTGATGTGTTTCCAAACCCCCTCCTCCCCACCAACTTCTGCTGGCTACAGTGGGTGTGCGTGGCTCCAACTGCCTTTCAGTCAGCGCCAATTGTTTACAGGTGCGTCTAAAATACAACGCCCTCTATGCTTCTTTGTCCCCATTCTTTGCCTCCTCTCCTCATAACTCCCCCCATCCTTATCGGTTCTTTTACGTTTTTCTTCTTCCTTTTTTTTTTACCTCTCTGTCCCCTGCATCATCAGCATTCACTCGAGTGCAGCGTACGGGTTTGAGCTGGCGGCGTCCATAGCGCTGCACACGCGGCCGCACGTGTTCAGCTCGTCGCTGTCGGCGGCGCAGCAGGCGGCAGTGAAGGCGGAGGCGCACGTGGAGTTCCACGAGGTGGGGCTGGCGCTGGCCAAGGACGCCAAGCCCACCGACGTCTCTCTGCCCGACCTGCTCGCCTCCACCAAGCACACCTACGTGGACGTGCTCTACCTCGCACCCGACTGCCCCGAGTGCGAGGTTGCCTTCATCCGCCAACTCAACGCCTCCTACGGCTCCAACCCCGCCTCCGGCCTCTCCCGCTCAGGCGGCCTCCTGCCCTTCGGCCAGATCATGATGCTGCTTTCAAAGTAAGTGGCACATGCCTCATCTGTTGATCGGTTCCCGCCTTTTGCTATATTTTGAAAGTTGTGTTGTCTTTTCAACGTACTGCTTAACAATGTTTATCACTTCTGTTTTAAAGATATGGTTCATTTTTTTGCCCATTCATGTGTTTGCCTTCTCCGCCCATCGTGCATGACATGATGCAGCGTGCAACAAGTGCGGCAGATGCTGGAGGTGGAGTACACGTTGGAGAATCTGGGGTACCGGTTGTTCCACGTGGAGACCAAGCCCAACGGCCACCTCGAGGTGGCCTACATCCACGCCTCCCTCGTGCAGCCGCCCAACCCCGCTGACTGCCCCGTCGACACTGCCGGTCTCAAGTACCCCGACCACCAGCAGATCGACGATGCTGCTGTGTGCCAAGCAGAATCTTCTTTCCAGGTATGCGCCACATAGGAATAACCTAGGTCTTCATACTACAGTGCATGGATCTGGGATCATAAGTTGCGACGTACGGAGTCCCGTCTGTGGACCATAAATGCACTTAAGCGTTCATGCTTTATGCTTCGTTCTAGCTAAAGTCCTCATGCAGTTGTGGGGATCGGCGTCAATCCGCAGCTGTGTTACCTCACACAACCAAAGTGGCACCACGTGATCCTCTGGGGTGGCATGCATTGCTGTGGGTCAAAGAAAGTGTACGAGGTGTAAATTCCAGATCCCAAGTTGTTCCAGCCCCTTGAGTGCCACATTCATCCCGTCAATGGTGTCACCAAAGGGTTGTAAACTGCAATCCGGGCCTCAACTCTGAATCTCAGCCCATCCCATGCCGCTTCCCCCTTCCTTGTGTCCTGTCGATGCCCACAATCAGGTGAACATGGCGCTGCGGCGGGCAGCGGTGGGGGCGGAGCAGCCGGTGACGCTGTCGCTGGCGGAGATGAAGGAGCTCATCTACGTGCCGCTCTACCCCTGCCCCTACGAGGAACGCATCGGCGAGTGGGGCGACGGCGGCAAGGTGCGCCCTCTCCCCAACCTGCCTCCTAAAGAACCATGCGTTGCCTTTCCGTCCTAAATAAGGCTCTTCCTTTTGTCAACAAACTCCAGAACCGTTTTTGTCGTCGGCGAGTGGGGCGACGGCGGCAAGGTGCGCCCTCTCCCCAACCTCTTTACGAATCAACCGACGCATCGCCTTTCCTTTGTGATTGGGGCTCTGCTTCATGTGTTCAATTTTCCTAGCCTGTTCAACTTGCTTATACCCCTTTCCTGACGTTTGTCATTGTGTCGTTGTTGTCCTGTGAGTGCAGTGGGTGTGCATGCTCGCATCTGCACTTAAGAAGCAGCCAATCGTCTACAGGTACCACCTCCCTTTTCCAATGTCTTCATGTGTGCACTATCTTTACCCTCCAGATGCCGTATGCCCCTCCTCATAATTTGTTTTCCTATCTCATTGCCCTCTGTGCATTGCCCCTTCACCCCTCCCCTGCACCAGTGTGGGGAGCAACGAGCAGTTTGCGTTTGAGCAGGGGATGGCGGAGTCGGTGCGAACCAAGGCGTTCACGTTTGACCCGTTCATCACGGCGACGCAGCAGGCGCACATGCGGTCGCTGCCCTTCCTGCACTTCCACGCCATTGGTGTGGCGGGCGAGGAGTCGCTGGCGTACTACCACAAGCAGAACCCCGACTACGACTTCAAGACGCTGGCGCAGCTCATGCTCTTCCTCAACCACACCTACGTCGACGTGCTCAAGATCGACTGCGAGGGCTGCGAGGTCGCCTTTGTGCGCGACATCGCCCGCGCCTACGGCTCCGAACCCGCCACCCTCGCCAGCAAGGGTGGTGTGCTGCCCTTCGGCCAAGTGCTCATGGAACTGCACCAGTACGTTCGCCTGCCTCCTTGCTGTTTGATCTCTCCATTCAAATGCGGCTATTTTGCTCACTTTTGTTGTACGTATTTCTTTTCTCTTGTGGTTTTTACTAAAAAAAATGCTCACCCTCTTGCACCTAGTGCCTTCGCACCCCTCCCACCCACGCTTTTTGACTGCAATTGCAGCCCTTCCTGTGTATTATAACCCCCTCCTCATTTCTCCTCCTCCTCCCACCCCCCTTCCCCCACACCCCCCTGGCTGCTGTGGCAGGATCACGAACACGAAGGCGATGCTGGCGCTGCTGTACACGTTTGAGAGTCTGGGGTACCGGCTGTTCCACGTGGAGACGAATCCGCTGTGCCTCATCTGCATCGAGGTGGCCTACATCCACGACTCCCTCCTCCAGCCCGCCAACCCCCACGCCTGCCCCAGAGCCCCCCTCAACGACCCCGCCACCCTCGCCAAAATCTCAGCCACCAGTGTTGGTGGTGCTGGTGCTGCTGCTGCTGCTGCGGCTGATGTCTCGTCCAATGTCGACGTGCCGGGTGCTGCTGAGGTTGATGCGACGGGTGCTTCTGAGACCACAACAGAAAGTGAAACAATCTGAGGCTATGGGAAACAGCGATGGACATGGCATCTGGGGACTAGAACATATTTATGCATGTAGTTCTAAGGCAGAGCATACAGTATTTTTCAGGCAATTGCCGTGCAATGTCAGAAGCAGAGAGCAAGTAGGTTCCTATTCTTGGATGGTGGGGATGGTAATGAGCAACTCTTTCTTTCACTCTCCAGGTGTAGCCTTCGCTCGTGGTAACAATCCGTTAGTTCGCGAGGTGCCCTGGTGCCCTTCACACATCTTTCCGCTCCTCCTCTCCCCTCTCCCCCGTTATTGTCACAGCTGCACACGTTCACTTGTTCACTTCTCCCTCGCTTCAACCCAAGTTCCAACCCGACGCCACTCCCGACGAAATCTAGGATCATTTGCTTCTACCGATCAGCCAGCAGGCCAGGCAAATTCGGCAGTAGCTGCGTCGATTGTCGTGTCGTGGCCCGTTCAACAATCCCACGTCCACCATACGCTCGTTCAACCATCTCTCACCTTCTTGCGCGTTTCTAGTGGACTCCCCGCGTCGTTAGTTTAAAATTTTCCAAAAGGACCCCCGCGGTAACCTGCGCTTTCGCCCTGTGCACCCCATCGTATTGACAGTCCCGCTCGTAGAATTCAAAGCGTCCGAACCGCACAGCAGTCCGTGGCCTCCACGCGCGCCACGTGTCACCGCGATATCTTGCTCCTCGCAATCGCGGCAGCATGGTGAAAGTGACCATGATAGCGCGAGCGACGGACGGCTTGCCTCTGGCGGAGGGGCTAGACGACGGGCGGGAGCAGCGCGAGGTGGAGGTGTACAAGCAGCAAGCCAAGTCTCTCTTCAAGCGGCTGTCGCAGGGCCTACCGCAGGCGTCGCGCATGTCCATCGAGACTGGCCCCTACTTTTTTCAGTATGCTGCTGCTCTTCGCCTCTCGCAATCAGTTTTCTCCACCCTGTCTAGCGCTCTCGCACGTTTTGCGATGGTGATCGGGGGAATATGTGCTACGTGTGCCTAGACCGGGCCGCCCAAGAGCAAGGGCGAAAGGGAAGGGAGGAAACGGAAAAGGGGAACTTTCACCTGACCTCGTTTATTCACCTCGTGCTTCCTCATCCCCGCGCCCCTGCCCCGTTCCCCCTCCCTCCCGTCCCGTCCCCCACTCCCCTCGTCTTCCCCCAACTTTTCCCTCCCGCCGCCTCGCCCCTGCTCTCCCCCGTGCGCGCAGCTACATAGTGGAGGGCGGCGTGTGCTATCTGACGCTGTGCGAGCGGTCGTATCCGAAGAAGCTGGCGTTCCAGTACCTGGAGGAGCTGCAGCGCGAGTTCGAGAAGGTCAACCGCTCGCAGATCGAAACCGTCGCACGCCCCTACTACTTCATCAAGTTCGGTGCGTGGCGCCGGGCGCGTGGGGACCAAGGCATTGGCAGGGCACGTCAGGGAGAAGGCGTTGGGGAGGGAGCGGTGGATGGGCCATGAGGAGGGGCATGAGGAGGGAGAGGGGTGTGAGGAGGGAGAGGGGTGTAAGGAGTGCGGCAGGCGTGTCAGGGGCTCCTTGCCGTGTGCTCAACACTATCTTTCTTGACCACTCATGCGCTCTATTTCCCCCTCCCTTACCCCTCACTTCCACCAGACACGTTTATTCAGAAGACGCGCAAGCAGTACCTGGACACGCACACGCAGCGCAACATAGACCGGCTGAACGACGACCTGATAGAGGTGCAGCAGATCATGACGCGCAACATCCAGGACGTGCTCGGCACCGGGGAGAAACTTGACCGTATGTTGCTGCAACGCTGCGCCCTCACACCCCATTTGCCTGCTCACGCTTTCGCCCACACACACCGCTTCTGCCCACTCACCTTTTCTCCCACACACACTGGTTCTGCCCACGCACACCACTTGCGCTCACACGCCCTTTTTCTCCTGGACATGCTCCTCATGACAATCTCTTCTCTGCATGGTTCCTCACCAACACACGTGCATACTCATGCTCCTCGCAACCCCCGTGCCTCCCCCAAACGTCCTCCACCCCCCAACCCTCTCTCCTGCACTCCCGGCCTCAGATCTGACGCAAGTGTCGAGCCGGCTATCCACGGAGTCGAGTGCATACGCCAAGAAGGCCAAGCAGCTCAGCCAACAGGTGCGCACTCGACTGCCCTTTCACCTTGCTCTCGCACTCGTCCAATTGCTCTCTCACACTTCTCTCACTCCCTGCTTCTGCATCACAATCACAGATGCATGTGCACATGAACATGCACTCTGAAGCACTCAGTTTCGTGGCTGTTCGTTCCCTCAGCTCTCCGACGCACCTGTGCCTGTGCATGCACTGTCCGTCCAGGCTCTCCTGAGAAAATGGGCGCCCATCGCCATCATAGTGCTGGTGGTCGTCATGGTCTTCTATGCCCGTCGCCTCTTCTACACCTGATCCTTCATGCTTCATGCTCCGTGACCTGCCACCCAACCAACACACACCAGCACCACAGCACGCAGTCTCAGCTGGAGCCTGCTTGTTCCACGTCTCTGGGTACCTTGGGCAAAGCAGTAAAACCTATGCAACGCGTCTTGCAAGAAACCTTTCAGCTGTTCTTTGTAAGAACTACATTGTATTGCTTTGCACATCATTAGTTGTTTAGGGTACCATATTGCATTGCATCCAGCATAAACTTCTTAGTCATACCGGTACCTCATTCTTTCCTTTTAGTACTATTGATATACAGTGTGATGGAGTGCACATGGGCAAAGCTCCTCTGAATTGTAGGAGATGGCACTAAGCTACACCAACAGCACTCTGCTATTAAATATGAAAGAGACCTTGGGGCATGGCACACTTCCAAAACAGCCTGCTAGGTACCAAACCAAGGCAGAGCAGTAGGGCTGCTACTACTGCAACATGCCTCCCGACACAGCGTGATTCCAACACAGCACAGCACCCAGTCCCAGAGTCATTCAATCGACATACCCATACAGGACACGAGCAGCTACCCATGATTGAAGCTGCTAGCGGTGCAGCAGGCAGTCGGGGTGCATGAGGTCAGTACAGTCGCGCGCAGTGCACTTCCACGCCAGCCCACGGCCCAGCGCCAGGCACTGCGCACACGTGTACGTGCCCTTCTGCCGCAGCCGCAGCACATGCGTTGGCTTGCGCGGGTCCCGCACGCCCACCTGCAGAGATAAGGGGAACAGACACCAGGGTACTTACTAGTAGGTGGGTGAATGTGACGCGCAGACACAATGTCGATGTGGAAAATAGGATAGAACTTGGGAAGGTCGATGGGAGAATGTGGTGGTTGATAGTTGTGGTATGCATCCACACAAGGGCAGGCAGGCAGAGGGTGGGCAGGGAGATGGGGAGCATGCATGATTGCATGGGTGTGGTTACCTTGTTCAATGCCTCCAGCAATGAGCATCGATCGCGCTCCCATGTCAAGTGGTGAGACCGAATCTCCTCCTGCTCCCACCCACCACAGCAAAGGATTGTTGACAAGGGAAGTGCAGAAGGGACAGAGGAGGGTCGGAGGGTAAGAGACAAGATGAGTGAGAGTGGCAGAGCAGGGAGGGGAAAGGGAGAAGCACAAACACCCATAGGGTTGGTCAATCTGGCAGATGGGTGGGAAGCAATGCTGTGGTGTGAGTTGTTGAGCATGGATGTTTATGGGTGTGCACGGGTGCACCTGGCACACCCACACAACACAAGCCCACGAGTCCCTGTGGCAGGAGCGGCAGCAACAACTCACCAGCTGCTGCAGCAGCGACTCTTTGGCTGCCTTGTTCGACGCCAGCTCTGATGACAGCTGCACGGGTGCAGAGAGACGGGGGGCAGTTGTGCGGAGAGGAAGGGGGCGGAAGGGGAGACGGGTGGGGGGTTGTGGGGAGCAGGGGGGAAACAGAGGCGGAGGAATGGCTGGAGTTATTTGGAGGTGCGCTTGGGTCACACACGCACACCAACCCACCCTCCAACTGCCAGCACCAACAACAGCACGAGCACAAGCACGCACACACGAAAACCTCTTCTCCTCGTCCCAACCCACCTGCGCCTCCCTCTCCTTCATCTGCGCGTCAGCAGCAGCCATGGTGGCCTGCAGCTGCTGCAGCTGCTGCTCTGCCTGCCCCTTCTCCGCCACCTGCTGCTCCAGCTGCGCCACCTTGCTGTGCTGCTCCTCCAGTGCCTCCACGTACAGCCGCCCCGGCGAATGCTCCGCCTGCACCGTGGCCCACCAAGGTGAGGTTCCAGGTGCAGCACACTTCAATAAAAATGTGCGAGAAAATATGCGAGGATGTAAGCGATGAAATATGCGAGAATGGTTCCCTGCTGTCCCGCTGCCCTTTGTCTCACTGCCCCTCAGCCCCTCCAACATATGACTCCCCAAACCCCCTCTTCCCTTTCGTCCCATTCTTTCCGTGTCAACCCACCTTACCCCCGCCCCTCCCTCCAGCCGTACCTCGGTGATTTGTCGCTGCATGTGCACCATGCTCTGCCGCATCTTGAACGCCTGCTGCTCCATGGCCTCCATCTCCCCCTTGACCGCCTCGCGGCGCCGCTCACTCTCCTCCAGGCGGCGCTGCGCCTCCTCGCGCTCCTGGCGCTCGTCCGCCAGGCGCAGCTTCATGTCCGCCACCTCCTCCTCCTTCTGCCCCGGGGGAGACGAGCATGGGACGCGAGCGTAGGGGAGGGGGACGGGAGTGGAGGGAGGGTGGGGGGAGACGTAGGAGAGGGGAGGGGAGGGGGGGGGAGGGGAGCGGAGGGGAGGGAGGGGGGAATTGAGGGAGGGGAGGGAGGGGGAAGGGCGTTGGAGTGATGCGACTATTTATGGGGCAGGTGAGTGGGAGGCGTATGTGTGGTACATGCACCTTCTTCCGGATGTTGGCGTGCAGTGCATGGGAGCGGGGTGAGCGACGAGTGAGTGGAAGGCGGTGAATGCAAGGCTTGTGAGTGAGTCGAAAAGGGCAGGAAGGCTGAAGAGACAAGGGGCAGTGAAGCTGGGTTTGTGATGTGCAGAGAATTCAGCAAGGAGAGTTATGGTGCATTGAGGAGTGTCTTTGATGCACGACAAGCACGAGGGGGAACAGGAACGTGGCGGCAATGGGGAGAGCAGGGAGGGGAGGAGAGGAGCGGCAGGGCGTGCACCTGCGCCATGTGGGCGTGGATGAGGTTCTTCTCCTGGTCAAACTGCATCGCTAACATGTCCTGTTGCCCGCCCAGGGGGGTACAGCCACACACAGCGACACAGAGAGGGGTGCAGAGGGGTACAGGGAGCGGTGTAAAGGGGTACAGGGAGGGGTGTAGAGGGGTACAGGGAGGGGTGCAGAGGGACACAGGGAGGGGTGCAGAGGGGTACAGAGGGACACAGGGAGAGGTATAGAGGGGTACAGAGGGGCACAGGAGGGAGTAGGCGGGGGGAAGGGATGGAAAACGAGCAGAGGTGGGTGAGAGGAGAGCAGAATGGAAAGGAATAGAGATGGGATTCGCTGAGCCAAAAAACAAGTGCAGTGCAATGCAGTGCGGTACAGCTTCCTCAAGGGCTTTAAACACTTGTCTGCACGGGCCCAGCCTGCTACCCGCCAGGGTTCAAATAGCATTTCTGGTGGTGGAGGTGTAGCCTTCCCACACCCAACCGGTGAATGATCCCAGTGCCCCAACAACACCCTGTGAACCCTCTCCACTCCCATGCACCTCCCTCACCACCCCATCCCATACTTGGCTTAAGCCATGATCCCTCCCACCCTCCTCTCCCCCCTCCCGACGCGCCCCACGTACGAGTTGCTGCATGAGCATGTTGTTCTCCCCCCGCACATGCTCCACCTCCGCCTGCATCGCACTGTTGCCCACTGCCTCCGCCTCCTGCCATGCCATGCCATGCCATGCCATGCCATGCCATGATGTGCAATGATGTGCCATTCGCCATATGCCATACCACGCACACAGGGGCACACAGCAGGCAGCAGAAGCGGGCACACAGAATCAGAGAGTCTGAGGTGCGAATTCTGACCTAGGTCACAGCACACACACATGGGGGATACTGTAGGTGCCGTGCATGGCAATGGTGCATGGCAATGGTGCATGGCAATGGTGCATGGCAATGGTGCGACCCCTAGCTGCCAGATGGAGGAACTGGGTGGTGGGAGCTTGTGCTGGGCACACAGCGTCACGAGCACAGCACAGCGAGGTGTGCTAATCAGCATTGGTGCAGTGCAGGCATGAGCGCAGTGGATGCTAGGGGAGCGGAGCGGCAGCTCGTGGCTTTGCTATGCTGTGCTGTGCTGTGCTGTGCATACCTGGAGTCGTCCCAGCAGCTCTTCCTTCTCTTCCTCCGCCTGTGCTTGCAAGAAGGCGGATATGCACATGACAACAAGGCACAAAGGCAGGCCCGGCGGGGACACAAAAGGTTTGGTTGGTGAGTAAGTTGATGGCGTATGCTGAAGAGAAAACGTAACGGCCATAAATTATGCAACATCCGTGAGGCCAGCTCCCTTACCCCGTGTGCCTCCCTGCCTCCCGCCCAACAGCATTCCGACTCCGGGTGGGCTCCATCCCATCTCATCCAATCCCATCATGCCATCATGCCATCATGCCATCATGCCATCATGCCATCATGCCATCATGCCATCATGCCATCATGCCATCATGCCATCATGCCATCATGCCATCATGCCATCATGCCATCATGCCATCATGCCATCATGCCATCATGCCATCATGCCATCATGCCATCATGCCACCATCCCATAATCCCACCATGCCCTCATGCCACCATGCCATCATGCCACCATGCCATCATGCCACCATGCCATCATCCCACCATGCCATCATCCCACCATGCCATCATCCCACCATGCCATCATCCCACCATGCCATCATCCCACCATGCCATCATCCCACCATGCCATCATCCCACCATCCCATCATCCCACCATGCCATCATCCCACCATCCCATCATCCCACCATGCCATCATCCCACCATGCCATCATCCCACCATGCCATCATCCCACCATGCCATCATCCCACCATCCCATCATCCCACCATCCCATCATCCCACCATCCCATCATCCCACCATCCCATCATCCCACCATGCCATCATCCCACCATGCCGTCATCCCACCATGCCATCATCCCACCATGCCGTCATCCCACCATGCCATCATGCCATCATGCCATCATGCCATAATCTGCCAGCGTGCGCGTGTGGGTGTGCACATGCATGAGAGCGCCACCTTATCAAGGAGCGCCTTGGCCTGAGCCAGCTCGTCCTGCAGGCTCGCCACCTCCTGCTTCAGCGCTGGCACGTCCGACGCCCTCAACTCGTCCTGATGCCATGCCATGCCATGCCATACCATGCCATGCCATACCATGCCATGCCATACCATGCCATGCCATACCATACCATGCCATACCATGCCATGCCATACCATGCCATGCCATGCCATGCCATGCCATGCAATGCCATGCCATGCCATGCCATGCCATGAATTGCAGCACAGAGGAGAGAGGAAGAGGTTGAGCAGGAGGGTGGAGACCAAGCGAGACAATCAGGGACGCAGGGAGAGAGGGCGGAGGGAGGGGAGGAGCATTGAAGGGCATGGGGGATGGACCAACATAGATAGCCACATGAAGTGAGGGATGGGGGATGGGAGAACGCAAGGCATGGGTGGAGAGCATGGGCGGAGAGCATGGGCGGAGAGCATGGGCGGAGAGCATGGGCGGAGAGCATGGGCGGAGAGCATGGGCGGAGAGCATGGGTGGAGAGCATGGGCGGAGAGCATGGGCGGAGAGCATGGGCGGGGAGCATGGGCGGGGAGCATGGGCGGAGAGCATGGGCAAAGAGCATGGGCGGAGAGCATGGACGGAGAGCATGGGCGGAGAGCATGGGCGGAGAGCATGGGCGGAGAGCATGGGCGGAGAGCATGGGCGGTGGTGGTCACCTGGAGCTTCTTTGCTTTGATTCGCAGCTCTATCTGTTGCATGCAGAAGGAGTTGGACTGCACACACACACGTGGGGGTGGTGGTGAGCGCACCAAGGACGGTTGCGGCATGATGAGGAGCAAGGTGAAGCACAACATGCACGTGCATCGGAATGGCTGACAGACGACAGCAGAGACGAGCAGAAGAGGTCTCGAAGGAAGCTTGAGAGGGGTTTGAGGGGAAGGCAGACAAGTGAAGCCTGAGGGAGAGAGACACAATGCAAGAAACCGCGGGCAATTGTGTGGCAGCGACGCACCTTCCTCTTCTCCTGCTCCAAACTGGCCAGTGCCTCCATCAGCTGTACCCGCGCATCGCTCTCAGGGAGATTCAGCATCTGTGTGCGCGTGGAGAGCGAGTGGAGGGCAGGCGGGCGGGGAGAAGCAGAGGAGAAGGGAAGCATGAAGGAGTAGGTGCGCATGCTCTCTAGTGCTCAAGCACGTGCTCATGCGCCCCACACACACGTGCCAGCCCCACACACACGTGCCAGCCCCACACACTCTCCTGACGTTGCACCAAAGGGCTGCAGATATGAGGTGCGTGAGAGGCCGTGGGGACATGGTGTGAGTGTATCGAGGGAGAGATGCAGCTCTGTACCACCATGTCTGACGCTTGCCACATGCACGCGCACCACTGCACTGCCATGCCATGCACCTGTTACCCGTCCCGCACCCCCACCACCACGGAGCGCCTCACCGCGAGCATGGCGCTGTCCTGGGCGCCGTTCTCCTGGGCGGCCTCTTTGGCCTCCTTGAGTTTGCTCTGCGCCTGGCTCAGCTGCTCCTCCAGGTCGCGGCACTGCGCCTCCAGCTGCGCGCACTGCGCCACTGCCTCCTCGCCCGCCTGCCTCTCCTCCTCCACCGCCTTGTGCGCTGCTGCCTGTTGGGGTCAGGGGCATGCGAGGAGAAAGGGGGGCGGGGGAGTGGTGGAGCGGGAGTGAGTGTGACAAGGGTGTGGGGTTGGGAGGTGATGTGGAAGCAGGGAGTGCGGGGAGGGGGAACAGGAACATGGGGGCAGGGCGGGTGGATGGTGCACTGCCTGTCTACAAAACATCCCCTGCGTTGCCCCCCCGCTCGGCATGCCCTCGCCCCTCTCTCTGCGCCCTCGCCCCGCCCCCCATGGCCTTGCCTCTTACCAGCTCCGCCTGTGCCTTCTGCAGTGCCTCTTCCGTTGCTGCCGACCCAGATGCTGGGCCTGTCCCTCGCTCCTGCACATGCCACGTCGCAAACAGCACAGCAAACACGTGGCACGCAGCAGAGAGAAAACGTGGCAAGGCGTGAGGCAGCCCATCCACCATTCACGTTCATGCATTCTATAGCGGTCCACATAATATTTCAATGCGCCAGAACTCACCAAGTCACACAGACATGCTTAAGGCATGAATCCCTCTCTTCCTCACAATCTAAGTCTCGGGGTAAGCGCACAAGCACTGCCTCCACTTCCACCTCCCCATGCTGCCAGGGAAAACGCCGTAACGCACTTCCCCGTCGTGCTCGCCCTCTTCCCCGATCCTCATGCGCAATACCCACCCATCCACCCACCCACCTGCAGATCCTTGAGTCAACTTTGAAGTCACATCAAGAGCCCACCCCCCCCCAGCCACCTGCAGGTCCTTGAGCTGTTGCAGCAGCGCCTTCTTCTCGTCGTCCACGCGGTCCCTCTGCCTCTCCACCGCCTTCTTCTCCTCCTCCAGCCGCTCACACCTCTGCTTGCTGCTCGCTGACTGTGACGGGTTCACGTGCACGCGGGTGAGGCGGGGGCGACGGGAGCAGCAAGGGGAGGTTGAGCGATGGGGCAAGGGGTGGGGCAAGGTGGGAGTAAGAAATGCAGTGCAGCGCGCTGATATCCCTCTTCTCCACACACACACTCTCATATGCACGCATGCACACACACACGCACACGCACATGTGTATGTGCACAGCCAGCCAGCACCTCTCTCTCGGCCCCCATCATTCTCCCCTCCCCCTCTCCCCCACCTCAGCGACGAGCTGCAGTTTGGCCATGGAGGAGGTCTGGGCGGCGGACTGCAGGCGGCTGATCTGCGACACCCACTCCAGCTCGCGCGCCTTGCGCTCGCGCGCCGCCATCACGGCCGCCTTCTTGCTCTCCTCCACGGCGCGCCTGCCCTCCTCCACCTCCGCGCGCAGCCGCACCGCCTCCATGTGCCGCTCCTCCACCTCCCTCTCCAGCCGCGCCTGCCGCAATGAGATAGTAAAAGAAATGGGCCAGGGGAAGGGGGTGGGGAGTGGGTGGGGTGGGGTTGATTCGGAAACGAAAGGGACGGACAGAAGGACGAGTGCACGCGCCCATGTCCCTTTGCTGCCCATTTCCCACCATCCATGGGTCTCCCACCACCATCTTCCCCAGCACCATCTTCCCCACCACCATCTTCCCCAGCACCATCTTCCCCACCACCATCTTCCCCACCACCATCTTCCCCACCGGCCATAATTCACACCACAGCACCAATCCCCACTTTCGAACAACCGTCTCTGCGTCCTTCCCCTCTCCTCCTCCCTCTCCCCATCTGGACACCCCCCCACAGCCCCCACGCGACGCGCACCGTTTCCGATTTGAGCTTGGCGGCAGCTTCCTCGGCCTCCAGCCTCTGGCGGTTCAGCTCCGCCCACCCCGTCTGCAGCTCGCTGTTGTCCTCCTCCGCCGCCGCCTAGCGCGCAGGGGGGGTTGGGGGGAGTGGGAGGGGGGGGAAGGAGGGGAGGGGGAGGAGGGTAAGAGGGTGCGGAGAGGGGACGGTTGGGTGGACAGGTGGGGAGATGGGGGGAGTGGTTTATAAGTGAGTGAGCGAGCATGAGTTGGAGAGGAGGAGGAGAGGGGGGGGTGGAGGAGGAGGAGGAGGAGGAGGAGGAGGAGGAGGAGGAGGAGGAGGAGGAGGAGGAGGAGGAGGAGGAGGAGGAGGAGGAAAGGGGCGGGGGAGAGAGAAGGGGGGGAGAGCGCGGAATAACATGGTTACAGCGCCAAAAAGCGGCAAGAGTCAATGGTTCCACGTACGCCCTCCCACCCCTCTTCGTCCCCACTATCCCTCCCACCCCCAGGCTCCCCCAGGCTCTTGGGCAGTCACTCTCTTTTGCCTGGAGCGCAGCAGCGCAAGTCCCTGCACGACATCCGCGACCTACCAGGCTCTTCTGCAGCTCTTCCGCCTTCTGCGCCTTCGCCTTCGCCTCTTCGCGCGCCTGGGGGGATGAGAGGCGTGAGAGTGAACGGGGAGGAGTCGGTGGGTGGATTGGGCCAGTACCGACGCCCGACATTTGAATACTAATTAAAGAGAGACAGGAAGACATATGTGTGGACGGTTTCTTCTCCCTGATTTTTGGCGCTGGAGGCCCTGAAGCTATTCTCGGAAACTAACTGCCAAGGGCAACCCACATTGTGCACGGCCATTTCGAGCTCCTCCAGCTTCTTGCATAATTGCGCCACGTCGGCGTCCGCCATTGGTTGCAGTGCAGTCAGCACGTGCGAAGTGGAGTTGATCTTGCCGCTTCTCAATAAATTAAGAAAATGCACAATTCTACGTTCGCGCTCCTATTGCCTAGGTCTCGTTCCTATGCTTGCCAACGCATGTCGCTTCGCGTCTATGCTGCAAGCGCCGCTAGCCTGAACATCATGGAGGCGCGCCTATGGTGGCATAGAGACTCATGATATGCAGAAAGCTGACGAGGAGAGACTGGGATGATGGCTGTTCATGTGTCCCGTGGAGTGGACAGCATTGAAGGAGATGAGAGTGCGTGCGTGGGCCGTCGGGTCACAGGAACCCTCAGTGTAGGTGACGCAACTAGCTCTCGGAAATTCAAACTTAATAGTTTTATCAAATAAAAATTTTATGCACATCGTTCATGAGAACACTAACGCGAGCTACTTGGTAGCGAATCGGTTGCTACAAACTGCTCGGCCACAACCCGCCCACAGGCACATTGTTTGGCGATAGCTCGGAAGTCTGTAACGTTTCGCCACACGACGAAGACAAACAGCTCTGTTCCCTCCCTCTGACAGATTTACCATGGTCAGTGCCAGATTGCGCCAATTATTTTGACTTGGTGTCGCGTCGCCCTGCCCTCTCCTTGTCGTCCCCTCCCGCCTTCCTCCCGTCGCTTCGTCCCTCTGCCTGCTTCTCTGCCTGCAGTACCTCGTCACTCGCGACTCCACCTGGTATTCGCAGGACAAGACCAGCACATCTGTCATCATTTCGCTGTGCTCTGCCTGCCCACTCAGCTATCTACGACTTCGCAGAGCTCCATCGGGCTCGAACCGTTCCACCTCTCGAGGCTATCTCATGCATGCCGTGGGTTGCTTTCAGAAACCCGCTCCCGTCCAGTACCTTCGTGACTCCCTACTCTCGGCTCTTTACTAGCGAGATTCTTGACGAAAATTTGCACTCTTAGTTACCAAGACACGCAAATCCAGATCATCGAATACATGGCTCACAGGGTTATGTCGCCTTTTCAGCACAGTTGCGCGTGCGTCTTGCTTCTGCTCTCCGCCGCTGCACTAGCCACACGGACCACGTCCGCCGACGTGGTCCCGGCGGAGGGGAGGCGATACGTCTTAGTGGGAACGACAGATTCGACGTTTAACTACGGGTGGAACCCCAAGGTCAACTTCACGGCATGGGCCGCGGACCCCGCGAATCGCGTCTACGAAGGCGACGTGCTCGGTAAGTCAGTTGATCGGGGTGCGCTCGCCAGTCCGAATTCGAGACGCGCAGCCCTTACACGAGTAGCTATAGCCGTCAGACCTACATACGCGCGCCGTTCGCTCCCCAAGCCCCTTCCACCCCCTCCCCTTCCCACTCTACGCCCATTTCGTTTCCGTGTCTTCAGTGTTTTACTACCCCAGGGGCGCCGACGAGGTGTACCGTTTCTCGCGATCCGACGACATGCGCCGCTGCGTCTACACCAAGGGGACGCGCGTGTGCCGTGACGTGGACGGCGTTGCCGGCTGTAAGGTGCCCGTATCGGAAGGCACGGCGCTGTTCACGTCGGGCATGGTGGCGCGATGCAACTCCACCATGCAGGTGAGCGTATGAGGAGGCTTGGAAGGCGCACCTCGGGAATTTCAAAACGCCCATCGTCAATCATCGCGCCGCCCACCCGCAAACGAGTCGTGTCTGAAGCCATACGCTCCCCACCTCCCCCTCCGCGACGCGCGGCGTGTGTATGCGCTCTGTGGCAGCTAGCGGTGGAGGTGGAGGTGGAAACCGGGCCGCGCGACATCGTGGTGGGGTACCCCACGAGCGAGTACACGTGGCCGTGGAACCCGGCCGTGAACTACACGGAGTGGCTGGCCAACAACACGCTCTACACCGGCGACGTGCTCTGTACGTCCTCGCCTTTCCCCTTCCCTACCCGCTCCACCTTGTCCTCTTCTACCCTCTATCCGGTATCTTCCTCCGCATGCGGCAGCCTGCCCGCTGCTGCTCTCGTTTCTCCCTATCTCCCCGCGTACATGGCTTTCCCTTATTGTCTCTTCGCGCCGTTACTATGCCGGTTTCTCGCGACCTGAGCTCACCCGTCTCTCTCCTTCTCCCCGGCACCCCGCCCATTCCTCGACCGCGCTGCCCCGGCGAGCAGACTTCAAGTACGCGGCGAACATGGACGAGGTGTATATAGTGCCGACCAAGGACGACTACGACGCGTGCAAGTACGACCGCTACACGGCGTACTGCAACGGCACGGACGGCGTGGGCGAGGGGTGCTTCAGCAACCCGCTCGACAACACCACGACCTACTTCCTCTCGGGCGTCTACAGCCACTGCACCGCACAGCAGAAGCTCGCCGCCGTCGCCCTCGACGGCCCCACGGGCGCTTGATGCCCGGCTGTTTGCTGTTGACATCTGTGGGAGACGTGGCAGGCAGCAAGAGGTCGACACAGAGTCGACCAGGCATAGAAGAAATATAGGGCCTGACTAGGAGTAACTTAGCTCTGACGCTGGTCATTTTATGTTAGGTAGTATTGACAAACAGAATTGAATGGAAGCTTTGCTCACACTCAACACATGATCTACCTCTCCGCTACCAGGTCAAGCTGCCAGGGAATGCAGGTCACAAACTTTCGAAATCTATTTCCTGTAAGGACAGGTGATGTTGCATTGACAAGAGCCCAGCAACCCTGGTCTTGCTTCCCTTCAGGACTAGTGGGGGATTCAGTATGGAAGTAAGTCGCTCTGGTTTGCATATGATGGTAGTAGATAAATAAATATTCCACTTACTGTACATAACATTTGCCATCCTTTTGTGCCGCCTCTACTGTTCAAGGCACTTATTAGCAGCAAACAAGAATGACCTTACGCGCACGCTTTCTCCTCCACGCCCGCCATCAAGTTCACTGCGTCCACTGGATGTACAATTCGGGAAGCTGGAATCAATGGTTTTTGTGACCAGTGAGCCACCTGCGTGTCCCCTTCAAATGCCTCATAGAGACCCTCCAAAATCCACCCATGGTTGGACCCTGCATTAGAAGGGTGGTGGGGTAAGTGGGGTAAACGTAGAACATGAGAGACGCACGAGATAAAAAATGGGTGACAGAGGAGGGGAAGTGGGGAGTGAGGCAGAAGAGTAGTTGTGGGAGCACATGGAGCAACAGTCCCGAGGCCACAAGCGGTGATGATTCCACACGACTCACCCGCACTTGAGTCGCTGGGCTGCCAGCGCTACTCTTTGCTCTGCCGAAACCAGTGCATCCGCCGCTGTTGCATCCACATCAGCAGAATCCAGATTCGCTGCCACACCGCGATCCACCAGTGGGAACGCGCGGCCATCCCTGGCGCCAAAGGCGTTGGAGAGGCGCACGGCGGTTTGAGATGCGGGATCAAAGCTCGAAAGGGACGAAGACTCCATTGACGACTGCTGCATCCTTCTGCTGCCCACAGCCCCCCCTCCTCGCGTGCTCCCCGCGATGCGCACTTGGGAGAGCGAGATGCCGGTGCATGGCACAGTGCGGCTGCATGCCAGGTCAATGCCGCGAATGATGCCCTGGGCTGTGGTGGCGTCAGCCGTGGCGGTGATGTTGGTGTAGGAGATGTTGAAGATGGAGAGCGCCTGCAGTCCAGACCCGCAAGGCTCCGCATCACAGTAGTACTGAGGAACAGGGGTGGGGGGGTGGGAAAGCGGAGGGTGAAAAGGGCAAGCATGAGAGATGGAGCAGGAGGGGCGGAGGAGGGGGTGAGGGCATGGGACCCAAGCGAGGGTTATCGCAGCGCAAAGCGGGCAGGAACAACAAAGTGATGCAGTCAATCAGAGCAACGGACTGATGGTATTGCCAGGCACATGACCTTCCCGCAAGAGGCTGATGAGAGCCCAAGCCTAAGTGACATGAGGGTAGAGGAGGTAGGCAAGGGGCGTTTGGCACGGCACCTGGTCGATGATAATGGGGCGATCGACATTGAGCATGGTGATGTTCTCATATCGCACGTTGAACACCGCACCACTGCCGCCCTGGTACGTCTTGATGCGCAGCCCGTTGGAGAGGCTTGATAGCACGGAATTCGTTACTGTCACATTGGATACGCATGCAGTCTTGCCACCGTAGCCCAGACTCCCAACACTGCACGCGCACATACACACACGCACAGCCATGCATGAGTACTCAGGGAGCGCACAGCTGTTGAGCAGTGCACAGGGTGCAGTGCGCTACCCACTGTGTGGCGGATATCCATCTGTGCGTGCCTTGAGACATCCACGCCCATAATGAAGTCGCGCTCCCACTTGCCCACCCACACGCGCTTCCCGCACTTGCCCCGTCACCTGATGCCGTGGCCGGCGGTGCACGTCACGTTGTTGATGCTGATGCCTGACGACCCCGCCACGATCGACACGTCATCATCGCCTGGCGATTCAGGGCAGGCAGGGGGGCAGACAGGCGAGGAGTAAGGGAAGGTCACCTCCCGCAAGGTTCCTGATACGAAAGCAATTACCTCCAGCAGGGCACGGAAGTGTTACCTAAGAATTGGCGTATGGACTGTACAGGCAACAGGACATTAAGAGTCCTCACCCACCTCCGTGCAACCACGAGTCGCTGATGCTGACTTGGCTGCATGCTGACACGTGGATGCTGTCTGTGTTGGGGCTGGAACCAGGGCTGCGCGTTGCAATGCCTCTCACCACGACGCCCACACACGATCCCAGCACCAGATGCATCATCGGTGCGTTGCTGAAAAGGGCACCCACCGCACGGGAAGAAAGAGTTTGAAGGGATTACAAGCCGCAGGCTGCTTGAGAAGCATCATGCACAGGACTGATTTGGCCTCGGGACATGATGGGTGCGAACAGGTTCAAGTACTCGCTCCGAGTGCTTGCCTTGATTCAGAGAAGTTCCCTTAAAGTCCGGTCCGGACGACTTTGTCAGCCTCTCCGCCGCTTACCTCAGTGTGATTCCCGTCACCACGACTCGCCGCATTTCCGTCAGCAGCAGCAGGTGCGGTCGGCTATTCGCCGGTCGCCGCCACAGCAGGTCACCTCCGCCGTCAATCCTGCCGGCGCCCGCGACAGTGAGCCCGTCCACGCGCGTTATCAGCATCACGGCGCCGCGACCAGCTTGTTTTGCGGCGTTGGGCTCAAACTGCAGGAGACCGTCGATCTGAGGGGGGGCGGAGATAACATCATCAAGAAGGCAGGAAATGAATGAGCCAATAAGGATAGAGAGGCGAAAACCATGTGCGGAAGGAAGATGGCGTGACTGTGCAGAAGATGACCATATTAGGTCAACAACGTGCTAGCAGATTGAAGCTTGCTGAGACAATTGAAGTCACAATCGTCACCTGAAGGAGAAGCCCGTTTCCTCTGCACGGCCCTTGCCACGTGATCCACGAAGCTACCAGGAACGTGCGTCCGGCGGGCAGGACCAGAGTCGCCCGCTCAGGCGCAAGATCTGCATCCATGGCGGCGGTTCCGTTGACGTCGCCGCTGGTGGCGGGTCCTTGGGCCGGCATCGAGGCAACATCCATCGTCAGCTGACGTGGAGTCAGCTGTGACGCCACCGCGCCACCATTGCGCGCGGGGCTTGCACTGCCCTGCTGCTGCGCCACTCGTCGCTCGCCTTGCGACGCCACAGTCGAGGCAAGCGCCGCACTCGCTGCCAATCTCTTGTCGGGCTTGCTGGGCTCCGTGTCGCTCGCGTCCGCTTGCTTCTTGAAGGAAAGCCCGCTGGGAGCAGACGCCGGCGGCGCGGTGGGTCGAGCGGCTCGGCCACGGGGTGCGGGAACGGGTGCGCGATACGCGCACGCAGCGGCGAACGCGGCGTTGAGAGCTGCGGTGTCGTCCTTAACGCCGTCCCCTGCGGCGCCGAACGACCGTGGGTCGAAAACGCCGACCATAGGTGGCGGAGAGGAGGGACTTGATGATGACGCGGACTGCGCAGAGGTGGCGGGGAGGCGCACGAAGGTGAGCGGAACAGACGTTGATTGCGCGGACACTTGCGGGGTCGGCTCAAACGAAGGTTGAGGGAAGGTTGCGGAGTGTAGAGAAGGAGTTGACGATGGAGAAACGGCGCCTGATGTTGAGATGCTTCGTGCGGGAACGGTCGTGAGAGGAGCAGCAAGAGAGGCGACGGTCAGCGGCATTTCCGAGGAGGCAGGGGCAGTGACTGGCGCAAGCGGATTCGGAAGCGACGGCTGTGACGGCAACCAGGGACTGGCGAGAGGATATGGCGGAATGACCTCGGCGGCGCCGGTACGCGTAGATGGATCGGAAGTCGCACCCTCCGTAGGCTGACTGACAGGCGGAGAGAATTTCACAGGTCTGTCAATCGAACCCTTCTCCGCAGACGAAGATATGTCAGAAGAGGGGGCCTGGCCTGGTCGGGCTGCTACTGCCAAAGGTTCCGGTCCGCCATCGTTACTATCTTCTCCAGCTGTTACTACTACTGGTGAAGCGGGTGATTGTAGATTGCTGAATGACGAAGATTGAGGCATGCCTGTCTCTGGATCTGTCAACTCCGTCGCGATATTCTCCTTCGCGTGATCGCTTATCGCGCCGTAATACGCGTCGGCCTCTCCTGACGGCGATGCGCTTTCCGAAACAAGATCTCCTGCATAGTGGCGTGGCTCTGGGGTCGCAGACGCGTCCACTGTGGCGGCTGCGTCGAGGATCTGGATGCGATCATCGTGCGTGCTCCGTGATGCAAGGAGAACGAGATCCCGCAAGTCCTGCGGGTCTGACGGGGCACTCGGTACTTGAAGCGGAAAGGTCAACTCGGTCGGCTTCTGCTGGGAGAAAACGCCTCGCGACGCCACGGCAATGAAGGCAACCACGGTTATCAAAGTGGCATGCGATCTCACACGTATCGGCATTCGCGGGTGTGGTTGTAGGCAGTTATGAACACGGCTCGACTTCAAAGCTAGAACTGCGGCTGAGCGGAATATGAGAACGAACAGCCGCAAAAGCCTCACTTCAAGCTCGTTGTACAAGATGCTGCTGTGCCTTGTGGTTTTCTCGTACCAGCTTCTCTCCGTCTCTTCACGTCTCTGTTACCAAATCTGCCAAATGCTTCCTCCCCCATCCCTGCGGCGGCAGGATGCGTGAGCGCGGAATTTCCTAAAAATTGCCGCATGGCTCTGCGCGATGCGGTTGGCAGATAACAACCAGCTCTGCAGGTCTCGCTACAGACATCCTCGCAGCTTCCGTGCATGCCAAGGTGCATGTACGTATACTGGTTCTCAACAATATCGGCTACCTCATATGAGCCATTTGCAAATGATGCAAAATACAAATCCTTATCATCCAATATTAGCACTTCATTAGACTATTGTTTACTTCGTCAGCAATTCCCGTACCTGATTTGCGAACACTGATTGATAGATTTGTCCCCTTGATGTAGGGAATACTCTGTACAATAATAAAACGTGTAAAATAGTGTTAGAATCACAAGTGTTGTTTCATTGATGGTGGTTGGGGTACAAGTAGCAAACCCTAACATACGTACCCCCTAAGACAAACCTCACTACAGGCTACCAACATTTGACACACCCCCATAGCCTAAGTGAGGGGTGTCTAGCAAAACCAAAAGAGTACGGTCATAAGACCAGTCACAAAGAAACAAAGCTCAGGGTGGATCACAACGTCACCACAAACTCTGAGCACAAGCAACAATGGTTACAAGGCCAGTCCAAGCAATAACAGAGATATATAGAAAGGGTACAAGCAAAGCAAACAGTGAACTCAAGACTAAGTAAGCCGAAAACCAGTGTCAACAAGGCCTAACTGCACACAACACCTGTGGTGGTCACAAGGCGGAAGCGCCTTGGTGAAGATGTCTGCAGTGTTGGCCTCAGACTCCACAAACTCGAAGCGAGCCTGTCCACGCCTCTGCAACTCTCGCAGAAGGAAGTACCTGACGTTAATGTGCTTCACTCTGCTCTCCAGTCGCGGCTCTCGACAAAGGAGAATGGATGCCTTGTTGTCAGTGAACAAGGTCGGTGCAGAGCTCGGCCGCTCACCCAGGTCGGCGAGCAAGAACGTCAACCAACGCAGCTCCTGTGCCGCCATGGCACCAGCGTAGATCTCAGCCTCAGCTGTAGAGGTCGAGACCGAAGAGGAGCGCGTGGACCGCCAGGAAACAGCTCCAGAACCCAGACTGAAACAGTACCCCTGAGTAGACCTGTGAGTCTCAGCGTCGTCAGCGTAAGAAGAGTCACAGTGACCAGTAAGTACGACAGACTGCTGCCCTCCAAGAACTAGCCCCACGCCTGATGTCGTCGCTAGGTACTTTGCCACCCTCACAGCTGCTGTCCAGTGAACAGGACGGTGTCTCCCTGGCGCAACAAAGCGCGCAAGGATGCTGAGAGGGAAAGCGAGGTCCGGGCGAGTACAAGTCATCAGGTACATGAGGCAACCCACAAGCTCTGCGTAGGGACCACTAGGCTCAAACGGCTCGTCAGGAAAGGGGCCAGTGAGTCTGTGGTCAACAGCAAGAGGTGTGCGCTGTACTGTGGAGTGCTGAAGCTCGAAGCGATGAAGGACCTGCTGCACCATGTGTGACTGTGAGAGTGTAATGGTGCGAGCAGCTCTGTCCCTGGTGATCTGCAGCCCAAGGTAATGGCGCAGCTCACCAAGGTCAGTGCACGTGTGTCTCTTCTGCAGTTCGGACTTCACGTCTGCCAAAGCAACCCTGTCAGCAGTGGCGAAAACTAGGTCGTCGACGTAAACCAGAACAAAGGACGGTGTGGAGCCACGGCGAACGAACAGCGACGGGTCGGCAGAAGACGGCTGGAACCCAAGGTCAGAGAGGGTAGAGCGGAGAGTGTCGTGCCACTCACGAGGGGCCTGGCGAAGACCGTAGACAGGTCGCCTCAGCCTCCACTGGGTCCCAGGAGGGAAAGTGCCAGTGAAGGCAGAGGGACGACGCAGCCAGACCTCCTCGTGTAGGCTGCCCTGAAGAAAAGCAGTGGAGAAGTCGAGGGAGTGTAACTCGTAGTCTCTCTGTGCTGCTACGTGCAGTAACACCCGAAGAGTGGTCATCTTCGGGGTCGGCGCGAAGGTCTGAAAGAAGTCAACTCCCTCGCGCTGACTGAAACCTCTAGCAACGTAGCGCGCCTTGAAGACCGGAGGAGATCCTGGTGGCCGCTTCACCCTGTAGATCCACATGCCATCGACTACGTTCGTCCCAGGGGGAGGAACCTCATCGACGTAGGTGCCTGTGGATCTGTAGGAGGCCATCTCTGCGTCCATGGCAGCTCTCCACTGAGAGGCCCAAGGCCCTGACACTGCCTCAGCGTAAGTGCAAGGAGTCGGAATGTCAAGGGCGTCGGGGTCACCCTCAGGGGTGAGGAGCATGGCACAGAGATGAGGGGAAGCGGCTGCCAGGAACTCTAGCTCAAACTGCCTGTCCTCTAGGACGTCACAGCCAAGGGCAGACACACCCCCGACGGCCAGAGGACTGGTAGGAGGAGCAGCCACAAGAGTGGTGGCGTAGTCAAGGCGGCGAGTAGAGGCAAACTCAGTGACCGCGGCAGTAAGAGCAGAGACAGAGGACAAAGAGGCACGAGGGTGGGTAACAAGAGAGGCGAGAACACGAGAGAGAACAGGACGGTACGTGCGGTAGTAGTCAGTGACAGGGGTAGAGAGAGAAGCTGTGAGGGCCGACTCAAAAGGAGAAGGAAGCACAGGAGGAGCCGAACGAGACGGACTAGAACGTAACAAGACAGTACGAAGGTCAGTGAAAGGAACAGGGGACGAGGGACGAGCACGAGGAGAGCGACGAGTAGCCCAAGTACGAGACGGAGGAGGAGAGGACAAAGGCGGAGAACTGGGGAAAACAGCGGGGGAGGAGTCAGGAGGAGGAAACGTGGGACCGTAGACAGGAGGAGAGGCGGAGGAGGGAGGAGAAGGAGAGGGGAGACCAAGGGTCCGAAGACCCGAGACAGGAGGAGGAAGTGGCTGCTGCTGCTGCTGCTGCTGCGGCTGGTGCTGCTGCTGCTGCGGCTGCGCCTGCGGCTCCAGCTGCTGCTCCTGCGGCTCCAGCTGCTGCTGCTGCTCCTCCAGCCGCTGTAACTCCCTCTCCTCTCTCTCCAACGCCAGCTGCTCCTCACGGGCACGGCGAACACGAGCCTGGTGCCTAGTCGGGTAGGGGTGGGGGAGCGGAATAGGGTCCGGAGCAGCGGCAGCTCCAGAGTCCACCCCCGAAGGACCAGGCGCACCACCCCCAGAGGCAGCACTAACACCAGCTCCAGACCCAGGCTCACCAGAACCCGAAGGAGGCGCACCCTCACCCCCAGACGGAGCACCCCCAGTGTCCGCGCGACCAGCACCAGCTCCCGGAAGACAAGAGTCCTCTGCACCCACCGGCTCAGCTCCAACTCCAGCACCCCCAGAACCAGAAACCGGTACAGGAACAGGCTCGGCACCAACCTCTCGAGAGCTAGCACCTGCAGCACGCTGCGAGGAGGACTGTGGGGAGGGAGGCTGTACCGGAGGGGCTACCGAAGGAGGAGGGGTAGCCTGGGACACACCTGACGGGGCTGGACCAGGGGGGGGAGGCTGTACCGGGGGAGCAGGAGGGGGAGCGGCAGTCAGGAAGAGGGGGGGAGGAGGAACCGGGAGACCTCGACTGGGGTGCCTGACGAAGTACGGGGTGGACTCCTCGAAACGGACGTCACGGGAGTCAAAGAACCGGTGAGAGGGAGGGTGGTAAAAGGTGAAGTCAGAGGAGTCCTCAGGGAAACCAAGGAAGACACAAGGAACGGCGCGAGGCGAGAGCTTGTCCGCAGAGGTGTCGCGGACAAGAGCCAAGCAACCCCAGACACGAAACCTCGACGCAACACCAGGGGACCCGGTCCAAAGACTGGTCGGCGAAGCCTCTGGCCGAGAGACGCATGGCCAGAGGTTCAGCTGGTGCGCGGCGTACCGAACCGCGTAAGGCCACAGAAAATGGGGGGCACGGGCGTGAGTTAGGGAGGTGCGGGCGATCTCCATTCCAAGCCTATGCGGCGCTCAGCAACCCCATTCTGCTGTGGGGACTCTGGAAGCGTCCAGGACTGACGAATGCCCTGCTCGCGACAGAATCCAGCGAGAATGCCGGAGCGAAACTCACCCCCGCGGTCGGAGTGGAGACAGCTGACACGACGACCACGAGTGTCCGCGGTGGTGAGCAACCACCTGATCAGCGTAGAAGTCACCTCAGACTTCTTCGCCAGGGGGAACACTGTGGTGTAGCGGGAGTAGTCGTCAACGACCACCAGAAAGAAACGCTCACGCTCAGGGCCAAGGCGAGAGGCGGGGCCCCAGACGTCCAGGTGAAGCGTCTCAAACGGCTCGGTGGCCGGACGAAGGGAGGAGGAGTGAGGGGTGGCGCGCAGCCGACCCTCGACGCAAGGACCGCACGGTGGTGCAAGGGACGGCGGCAGCGACGGCAAGACACGCGGGAGACCTAAGACCAGACGCTGACTAGACATAGCACGCAGACGTGGAAGAGAAGGGTGTCCCATCCGGTGGTGCCACAGAACGGTGGGGTGGGCAAGCGACCGGCAGGAGCAAGACGCAGCGACTGGACTGGACGCGACAACCTGAGGGGACGGAACCACCTGGTGAGACGCAGGGAGGAGACTAGGGGGAGGGACAGGAACTGGGAGTAGGGGCTGCTGCGACGGCGGCCGCTGCGGCTGCTGCTGCTGCGGCGGCGGCGGCGGCTGCTGCGGCTGCTGCGGCTGCTGCTGCTGCTGCTGCTGCTGCTGCTGCTGCTGCTGCTGCTGCTACTGCTGCTGCGTCCGCTGCCGTGCACGCGGGCCAGTGTGAAGAGTGTAGAGACCGGAACCCGGCTCAGCAGCAAAGGTGGCCAGAGGCTGGTAAGAGTCCCCGTCAACACACGGCGCAGTCTCCCCAGAAGGCTCAAACCACACACCCACGTGCTGACTCACGAGGGGTCGCACGCCCACCAAGTTCCGGGAGAACGAGGGGACATGAAACCCAGTGAGAGACCCGGAGGGAGCAGCAGGACACGGCAAAGTGGTAGTGTGACGCGCAGTGACTGGTCCCGAGGTGGGATCAGCCAGTGCCACAGAGACAGGCGCAGGAAGTGGCGTAAGTGTCGTGCTGTCACGAAAGAAGCAGTGCGAGGCTCCAGAGTCCAGCGTGAAAGACAGTGAAGCGTCCTCCGAGGTAGCCGCTGGACTAGTGTCTACACAAGAACCTACACTAGCAACAGGCAACTGAGCAAGGCTAGCACCTAAGCTAACAACACCAGAGTAAACAGAGTCAGAAACACTAGAGTCAACAACAGCATACATAGCATGAGGAGTTCCAATCAGATCAGCTAACTGCTCGGCAGACATGTCCCACAGAGCGGAACCGTAACGCTGAACAAGGGGAAACCAGTCAGGGGCAGGACCGCCAACCCCGTAAACCAAACGAACCGTGTCAGTGAGCTGAGCAAAACACTGACCAGGGGGGTGAAGGCGGCCACAAGGGTGGCCCCGGCGAGCACCTGTCAGAACCTGATAGGCGCAGGGAGGGTAAACAGCACCACGCTGCGGCTGACGCGGCCCCGACCCCGAAGCCAGCTGCGGCCGCTGCTGCTGCGGAGGCTGCTGGGAGGAGAGGGGCTGCTGCTGACGCTGGGCCCGGTACCACGCCGCTGCTCCACCCACCGGGGCTGGCAGTACAAGGGGCGACTGACGAACGCGGGCGTCGCCACCACCAGCAGGCGCAGTGGAGTCACCGGTCGCTGCACGAGACGTCTCTCCAGGCCCTGCACTCCCACCACCGCCAGTCGCAACGCCACCCCCACTACCTCCGCCTCCACCAACGCCGCCGCCAGCACCGCCCCTCTTGCCACCCCTACCGCGGGACCGCGACGAAGTCGTAACAGCAGCTGCGGTCGCGTCAGTAGCGGCAGTGGCGAGAGAGGCAGTAAAGGTGGGCAACTGCGGAACTGTGCACCCGTGGAAGAGCGGGGGGGGCACAGCACCAGAGGCAGCGGCGACGGAGCGGAGGTTGCTCTCGACGTCCTTGAGTGCAGACTCAAGGACGTCAACAGTGAGCTCACTAGGGTGCTTCAGGAGAAGCGCGTCACGAACGGAGGCAAGGCGGTCGGGGAGGCTAGTGGCGATAAAATAGATAGTAATCGCCATGGGAGGAGGAAGCAGTGCGAGCTGTGCCTCAGTGCAAGCAGCGCGGTAACTAGAGTCGAGCGAGCGGAGGTGAGCAATCAAGTCAGCAGAGCGCTCAAATGAGGCGAGATCAGGGAACAGGAACGGGAGGAAAAGGCGGCCAAGAGAGACAGCAGCAGGAGTGGAGTAGCGGGCCTTAATCGCAGTCAGGTACTCAGCAGCAGTGCGAACCTGAGCAAAGTGAGCCTCCTCAGACTCAGGGAGGAGGGTGCTGAGCGCGATGCAGGCCGCAGCGTCACGCGACGTCCAAGCTGTCAGGTCAGCGCGCTGGCTAGCGAAGCGAGCTCTAGCGGCGTCGTCAGGGGCAGGACCTAAAGGCGTAGGGTCGGGGGGCGCAGGGAGGGCACCAGTAGCGTGCGCCCAGAGGGTCTCGCCTGACTGGACCTGACTCTCTAACTGACGGCGAGCGCGCATAAGCCAGAGTGAAAAGTCAAGAGGTCTACCGTCAGCGTCGAAACGAAGTACACGCGGAGTCGCCATAGTGAAAACTGACGGAAAAGCGGTGGCAGGAAACCCTAAACGAGGTGGCGTAGCGAAACTCGGGCGAGCAAAGGGCGAAGCGGGAAACCCTAAACGAGGCACAGGCGCAGCTAAACGGTGGGGCGTTAAGGGGCAGCCGCGCGGGGGCTAAGGGCAGCCGCGCGGGCGCGGGGGCGAGCGTTAAGTGGCAGCCGCGCGGGGGCTAAGGGCAGCCGCGCGCGACGCGACGAGCAGCGAAGGCGGGCGCCGCGGCGACGGGCGCAGGCTGCGGGCGCGACGTCGGGCGCCGCGGCGGGCAGTGACGGCAGGCGCCGCGGCGACGGGCGCGACGGCGGGCGACGGGAGAAGGCGCAGCGGCTGCGTGCGTAAGGGGGGGACGGGCGACGGGACGACGGGCGGGGAGAGCGCGATTCGACGGGCAGCAGGGGGGAAACGCGACTCGACGGGCAGCGGGGGGAAAACGCGACTCGACGGGCAGCGGGGGGAAAAACGCGACTCGACGGGCCTCGGAGGGGGGAAAACGCGACGGGCCAGCATGGGGGAGGAAGGTCGCTACGCTACTCGAGTAGGGGATCGGCGGAACGGATGGTAACGAAGGAACGGGACGAGAGCGGGCCGGCGCTAGGCTCGGGCAAGACGTGCGTAAGTAATACGAGAGAGGGAGACAGGCTCGGGCGATACGAACGAGGTCGGGAGGAACGGGATCCTACAGGATCCTAACCTAGGTGATACCATGTTAGAATCACAAGTGTTGTTTCATTGATGGTGGTTGGGGTACAAGTAGCAAACCCTAACATACGTACCCCCTAAGACAAACCTCACTACAGGCTACCAACATTTGACAAATAGGAATTATTTACCTTTCCTCATCCTCTAAAATGTGAGCATTTTACTTCTTTCACACGGGTCATGTTTCTCCTTGGTAAAAAACTCTAGTTGAATTTATCGGGCGCGGAAAAGGCATCAATTGCCCAAAGCGGGGTGTTGTTGATGGTGCTGAAGGCGGCGATGGAGCAAAGTTTCCATGTCTTGAGAGCCAAGTACTGATGGCTGTTGCACGCTGGGCCGTTGATGTGGCTGGCTGGATGCTCAGAGGTAGCAAAGTATTGGTTATTGGGCTCGAAGGAGGTGAGGGTGCAGCATCAGGAACCTCTGATGCCATGTTGATCCAGTCCTCCGATCCTACCGATGATGCCCAGGCAAGGCCACTCCTGCATGACAATGGCATCAGCGTGGGCGGGCAGAAAGAGGTGGAGTTCTACACTCAAAAGAGTGATTAATATAATGGCACAAATATGAAGGCAAATTCAAGCTGCACAGCTTGAGAAGCCGAATGAGGAATCGCAGGATCTCACCCTCCGCATTTTTTGTGTTCGACTGCAATGCTGCTGGCACTTGATCGGGAGAGGGCGCGCTGCCAGTTGGGGCTGGGAGACACATTGATGCTCGTGCCAAACGCATTCTTGTACATGCCCTTCAGGCCCTCCCCTCTGCTGTGCCGGATGTTCACATCACGCATTGTGATCTTCCCACATGGCACTCTATCACTGCATGCGAACTGTATGCCGCCACTGCTGGAGTAGTTGGTTGTGCCGGAGATGCTCCTATAGGTGATATCAAACACCGCCAGGTTCTCTGGGTGGCCAGCGCAGGGCTTCCTCTCACAGTAAAACTGTTGCGTGTGATGGGCAGAGATTGACACCCAAAGCCGCACGGGTTGTCAGTACAGAAGGTCCAAACAGGGAGGCTGTGAGCAAAGAGAAAGTGCGAGGCATGAATCAAAGGAGCAGGATGTGTGAAGATAGGGTTGTGAGCACACACCTGGTTGATGACGATGGGGATGCTCACGTCCCGCATCCTGATGTTCTCATATCGAATGCCATGCACTGTGCCCTGGCCGCCCTCGTACGTCTTGATACGCAGCCCGTTCTGCAGCCCCACCAGTACTGCGTCCTGCACCGTCACGCCCGACACACATGCCAGCTCGCGCTCTTTGCCCAGACTCCCAATGCTGCTCCATCAGCAGGACAGGATGAGAGGCGGGCAACAGTGAATCGTTGAAGATGGTGCCTGAAAATGGATAAGGTGGCCATTTATTCGTAATGCCATGCATTTCCAATGCCATGCTTTCTTGATGCCAAGCTTTCCTAATCCCATTCTTTCACTATGCCATGCTTTCACGCTGCCATGCATTCCCAATCCTATGCTTTCCCAATGCCATGCATTCCTGGTGCCATGCATACCTCATGCCGTGCATTCCTGATGCCATGCGTTCCTGATGCCAGGCATACAACATTTGTACTTGTATGATCGGACCTGACCAGGTGCATACCTGATGCCATGGCCAGCAGTGCAGAGCACGTCACGGATGACGATGTTGGAGGAGGAGCCAACAATTGACACGTTGTCGTCACCTGCTCACGCACAACGGGAGGCCACCCACACACCCACAGACCAGAGGGTTTGAGGGTGTCGAACGCAGTGTGTGAGAACGGATGGCAATGCAGTATGGTAGCAGTGCGAGGCAGAACACAGCACCGACAGGTGCGAATCTTCGCTTGCCAACATCACACTCCCGTCCACTCCATGCCGTTTTCGTGTCCACAGTCCACAATCCCATGCATTCTCCTTCCGTCGGCCCCATTCAGCTCATGCCCTGCCTAAACCACCCTGCCCTCCACAGCCCAGCGATCCCTGTCCCCTTACCCCACAGCCTGTCCCCTTAACCCACTCCCTTGCGCGGCTCACCACCGTGCAGAGTGCAGTTCTCGACGACGACGTTTTTGACAACGCCCAGGTGCACGGAGTCGGTGTTGGGGCTGTTGTAGGGGCTGTCCGTCGTGAAGTCGTGGATCCACACGTTGCTGCTGTACACCACGCTCAGATGCATCATCGGCGGGTTCCTGACAGGGGGGGGCACCACGCACACCCAGCAATGCCGCACGACGCGGACAGGGGGGGGGTGATTGATGCCATGGTGCTCAGGGTTGGGCGGGCGGGTGAGAGGGAGCGTCACGCTTGAGCAGAAGAGGGAGTACTTGTTGCTGTATGGACGGTAAGCGGTTCCAGCAGCAAGCACGGCAGCAGCACAACTCGAAAACATTGCAAGATAATTGAGAGACACACTAACGAGTACACCAGCTCTTTGCCGATCGGCTCATTCACTGTTACGGGGACAGACAATGCGGAAGGGTTAGGGAACGTATGCACTGTGAATACAATGCACGAGCAGTGGAGACAATTGACAATGGGCATGGGTGAGGCAAGGCGGATTTTGCGCGTGGTTGAGGAGGTCGCACATTTTGTAGAGAGGCAGCAACTCACCTGAGCGTGATGCCGGAGACCTCCACCCCCTCGCACAGCTTCGCTTCCAGCAAGTACGGCCTGTGCGATCCATGCCCCCAAACCACCTGCCCCCCGCCGTCGATCACGCCCGAACCCGCGATCACGAGCCGTTTGATCTTCTGGAAGCTGAAGATGGGGTTTTCCGCCAGCACGCCGCGCGGATACACGGATATGCGCCCTTCCACGCGGACCAGCAGCCCCGCGCCCCCGCACGGCCCCTTCCAAACGAAGTTCTTAGACCGCACAAAGAACGTGTATCCGCGCGGGAATAGCAGCGTCGCGCGCGGGGGGCTGCCGCCGCTGTACCTACACGCGGCTAGGAACGCGCGGTTCATCGCGCCGCTGTCGTCCGTGGTGCCGTCGCCCACGGCGCCGAAGTCGTGCACGTCGTAGATACCGTCGTTTGGAGCGGGGTCCGGGGGTGGGGAGCGTCGGGGCGGGGGCGGGGAGCGGCGCACGTACGGGGGAGGCGATCGGCGCCTTGGTGGCGGAGAACGGCGACGGGGAGGCGGGGAGCGGTGGCGACGCGGAGGTGGGGAACGCCGCCTTCGAGGTGGCGGTCTGCGGCGGGGGGGCGGGGGGGCGCGCGGGGGAGGCGGAGGACGCGCGGTCTTTGGGGGAGGGGGACTGCGACGCCGAGGGGGGGGCTTGTGCCTCCTGGGAGGCGGAGGGTGGCGGCGGAAAATTGGGGGAAAAAGACGCTTGGGAGGTGGATGGCGCTTCTTCGGTGGGGGACTGCGCGGTAGCGTAGGCGTGGTTCTCGAGGGCGGCGGACTGGGAGGTGGGGAGCGAGGAGGGGGGCGAGGAGGAGGGGGAGACGGAGGAGGGCGGGGAGGCGGTGATGGCGGAGGTGGTCGGGGAGGGGGGGATGGAACGATTAGCGGAGGAGACGGCGGTGGCGGAGCAGGCGGGGGGAATGGCGGAGGAGGGCTTGGTGGCGGTAGGGCGTCTGGCGGTGGCGGGGGAGGCGGGGGAGGCGGGGGTGGCGAGTCAGCGAGTGTGCCGGCGGAAGTGGTGCTTTCGAAGCCACAAAGGAGCGCTGGGGAAGGTGGTGGGGGAGCCGGGAGGAGAGCAGCGGGCGGTGGAGGGGGAATAGCGGCCCCAGGGGGCGGAGGGGATGGCAACAATTTTGCACCGCTAGGTTTGGCCGGGCGGACGGGACGGCGGAAGGGCAGGAGGAAGGAGAAGAGAAAGCGGCGTAGGAAGTGGTCGGGGGCAGGGGGGGGGGAAGGGGGCGGGGGAGGGGGAACGGGAGGGGGAGGGGGAGGCAGAGGGGGAGGGGGGAGTGGAGGGGGAGAGGGAGGAAGAGGGGGAGCGGAGTGCATTCTGGGACGGACAGGCGTGGGGGAAGGTGCAGGGATAGGAGGCGGATACAGCGACGGAGGATGCGGCGGCACCGGCACTAGACCTAGCGGTGGACACGTAGCGGCAGCGGGAACGAACGTAGACGGATCCAAAGTCAATTCCCCAGCCTCGCTGCCTGCTTCGGTTGCCTCGCCGGACCTGGAAACAAGGAGGTTCGGTTCTAGGTTCGACGTAAATACGGACGGCTGGACGTCCGGCAGCGGCGTGAATGGGTAGAGCAGGTGCAGATCCGAGGAGTTCAGCGGGCACGCCGTTGCGTTGAACGCCCACGCCTGCTTTTGCGCCGAGCCACTAGGGGAGATCCGCGCTGACTCTGGCGGCTGCTCCCGCACCCGGTGCCTGGCGCCGCTGTGCAAAACCACGCGGCGCGAGAGACGCCGAGTGGGGGAGAGGGGTTCCGGGTGGTTGCGGAAGGCTCTTGGGCCCACGCCGATGGACGGCTGGTGCACGCGGCGCGCGGCGGTGAGGTTCGACGGGAGCGAATTGTTGAAAAGCGGAGGGCGGAGGATTAGAGAGTCGGCGAAAGGCAGTGGGGAGGAACGGCTGCGGAGCGAGCAGTTGGGGATTCGAGTGTGCACGCAATGCGGGGGGGCATAGAAGCAAGCGGGGAGTGGGGAGCAAGCGGCGAGAGGAAAGGGCCTATCGGCGTGCCATACGCAGTGGTCGATGGTGCACGGATCGCCATCGTCACATGCCGCTGTTGGGGAAAAGGGGAGGGGATGACGAATATGTGAGCGCCTAGCAGAACAGCAGTCGTCTTGTACAGGTAAAGCATGTCCCAACGACTTCACATGTGCTCCACCCCGTTCTTGCAAGCACAGTGCTCGTAACTAACAGCGGGCGTGAGGCTCTCACCTGGTCGGACGACGGCAATGTCACACGACGAAGTGAGCAGGAAGCGGCAGTCGCCCGACAGCCCCGTGCTGCCCTCCGCGGGTGCCCAGGCGTCTTCCAGACTCAACAAGGGACTGATGGCGGGGATGGTGCACAAACAAGGTGAGACGGAGCAGCGGTTGGAACACGCGAGCAGCCAACGGTACTAGAAACAGTTGGATCATATCAAAGGCAGCACCATTGGCCGTGAAACACATCTAGACCCAATCCAGGGTTTTATCTATGCTGGGTACTAGGAGAAGAAGTTACTACTTCGTGTGCGCACCTGACAGGATTCACGTCGATCTTTCTGAACCGTGCGCCCACGACGTCAAACACGCATGCTTCCGTCGGCGGATCTGCACCTATTGCGTCGCCGTCGCTGCTTCGCTCGCGTGGAGGCACGGTTTCGCCTAAAAGCTCTCGTTCTCGAGCCTCTGCGTAGCTCACTCGGTCCCGCAGCGAGCTGCTGCAGTGAACGGCGGAAACCACGGAGGGTCCACATGCTAGCAGCGTGAGCAGCGCACATAGGAGAGACAGACTGTGCTGTAAACGGACGACAACCTGCATTGTGCTGCACAGTCGGCTCGGCTGGTGGTGTGCCTGCTCGGCGTTCTCCACGACATCTCCTACTTGTATACCGTCACTACTCCATCCCAGAAAGGGTAACTCTAATGAACATTGACCTTACATACAAGCTATAATGTGCATTCCAAGTCTGTACTTCAGAGCCCCGGAGTAAGCTTAAACCGCAAGGAACGGCAGCAACGGCAGCTAGCGCGATCGTCGCCTAATACTACTTCACAGGGCACATACTGTTCTGGCAGTTCAGCAGTCCTTCACGCTAATGTACCGATGGCACGAGGACAGAACAAGGGACCACGATGCTCGTCTCGTTCGCGGATAACACCTTCGCAACATTGCACAAATGCAGAAATGGAAGAAAGGAACCCATACAATATCCATCCCCACCATCCCATCCCACACACAACGCACGGCTTCTGCAGATGGAGCTGGACCCCCACATGGCTGTACCGTACAGCAGCTCATGCCCCCGACAAAATTCCAGGTCGATTACAAATTGTGTCTCTGCCGTGGAGCCCTCCAATGGAATTTGAATGTTGTGCGTGGCAAGCACACACACACACTCTGTGTGAGGCCAAAATCATCAGAATATCATTTCTACCTATGCGGTTTTGCAAATGTAATCCTTTGCTTGTATAAAATGAAAGATGTCGGCTTGTCGAGCAACGTCAATAGACGACCGGCCGTCAACTGGCCGTCGTCAAACTATATATCCCACCAGGCTGTAGTCAACCCTGGACACCATTCGGTTACCCGTAACGATTCCCCCCCAATCACATGTTCGTCCAGGTGTGTTCATTATCATTATGACCGTGAGTATATACGGTAACCAGAACGTTTTGCGATGGCATAAAAGCAGTCACACCAGCATCTAATCCGACGTTCATCAGCTTCTTCCGTGTGCAAACCGGCAAAAATAAAGCATTTGTAAAACCGCACAAACAAAAGAGATGCAGGTGATATTGACCCTTCTGTGTGGTCACAAGTAACACTACACAGCTCCTGTCTCGGGAGAATCCAGGACGAGGCAGGGCTGTGTGGAGCCGATTGGTCCGAGACGTTTGGCAACAATGGCGCGAACTAGGCTTTTGCAAGGTGCAACTATGCCGGTGCGTGTCAGAGGAAAGGCGCTCATTGGCGAGGCATAGCATGGTTGGCGATTCTACTGAAGCGGAATTTGCTCAAACATATCTGCCACCGTGGAAGCAGAAGCTGGTCGCCGAGTGTACTGTACACTGCAAAAGTGTGATGTGAAGGGAAGTGCAGTAAGGGCGTGTAAAACTGTAACGACCAAACGCTATGGTCGTTCATGCGGGCGTTTCTGGCGATTGCGAAGAATTAGGGTTACGTAGTTTAGAGTAGTCACCCCGATTTGACCGAAAAGCAAGGGTATTACGCATAGAAATTGGACGCAGTGCATTTTGGGAAACGTATACATGTTTCCTCAGCGAGGGGAAAAACCTTTGTGCTCGCCTAAACTTCATGTTTTGTTAAACACTCTGGTCTAGGCCTCTGAGCCCCCTGTACTCCATACCTCGTTCGAATGCAGTAGTCAGAATAAACAACTTCGCTTTCAATTACGGGGATGGTGTGTGGCGAATGCCCCACGCGCTCACGAAAATTGTGGCGGGGATCGCTTTCGCGTTACATCTTTTCGCGATCGCCAGAAACGCGCAAAGGGCGGAAAATTGGTTTGGGCGTTACAATTTAACACGCCCTAAACTGGCCCAAAATTACTTACGGGTAACGGGACGCCATTGCTTGCTGTTTTGGAGGTGCATGAGTGCTAACTTGGCCAAGATGCATAAAAACAGCTTGTTATTGCGTCTTACAAAAGACAATGTACTGAAAGCAATCCAATGTAATGCATGGAGAGGAGAACCAGTGTAGAGGCACATCTATACAACCAGCTCTGCATCCAAAATTCGTGGCACCACACTGAACCACATGCAACCTTGCAGATGTATAATTATTCTGTTGTAGATATATTACACACGAGCTTGTATGGCTGAAGCCTGATATGGCACTCCCTATACTTCTGCTCCACATGAGAAGGTAGGGTGAGCTTCTCGAGAGGTGAGGGGTTGGTTGAACATTGTGGGGGGCAAGCATCAATTGGTGAAGTCGAAGGAGGAGCTTGGGGATGCCCAGCCGAGCCCTTTGGGTCCGAGGAACAATGCCCACCACAGCCTGCTCACACATATTGGCATGCATAAATCATGTGAGGAAGAAGTATGCCAGAGTGGTGTAGTTTGAGGACAACAAGGATAGACTCACAAGCAGGCACCAGGCAGCCCAATGCTCAGGATGCAGTGTGTCAGGTCAATGCACCCAGCCCATGCTCCCCCGTAGCAAACATACCCGCCACACTTTCCGTACTCATTTGCGACTGCAAATGCTTTGCTCCACGGCAGCTTCCCCTTCTTCCAAGCTGACGCGCTTATGCCTGGCACCACGGCCTTGCTGCTGCCATATGCATTGAGCAAGATGGGCGAGAGCGTCGTGTTGGTCCGCGAGTGCTGAATCCGCACATTGCGCATTGAGATACGCCCGCACGGTGTGCGTGGGCTGCAGGCGAACTTGATGCCCCCACTGCGCGTGTAGTTGGTGGTGCCGTGTATGTTATTGTAGTGAATATCAAACACCGCCAAGGAGCCGGGCTTGGCAGAGCAGGGCTGTCTCTCGCAGTAGTACTGATGGAGTGCATGGAGGCCATTAGGAAAGAGGACAAGAGCATGGCAGGGGGAGGGGGGCCGATAGAGGCAAGTTGACGCAGCTGACGAAGAGAGCCTAGGGGCTGGCAAAGAGCAGGGATGGTAGTGCCAGAGGACGAGAATACGCTGGTGCCATAGACACAAAGGAGAAGCCATGAGAGCAAGCGGCAAGTGGGAGAGGCGTGAGGTGAGTACCTGGTCGATGAGAATGGGGTAGGTGACGTCGGTCATGCGCACGTTGGTGTAGCGCACGTTGTGCACGGCGCCCTCGCCCCCCCGGTACGTCTTGATGCGCAGCCCCGTCTGCAGCCCCACCAGCTGCACATTCTTCACCCGCACGTTTGACACACACCCGCGCCTCGGCCTGCTGCCCAGGCTGCCGATGCTGCCACACGTGCACACGTGTTCAGAGAGGCGAGGGTGGGCAGCAGGAGTGGGTGGGGCCAGGAGGAAGACAGGTGAGGGTTGTGCGGAATCGCAAGTCACTGCAACAAGAGCCAGCGTCCACAAGATGGCCTGCTCACCTGATGCCATGCTTACTTCATTAATACTTTGGCTGGAATGCTTACCTCATGCTATTCATACCTGATGCCATGCATACCTGACCAGGTGCATACCTGATGCCATGGCCAGCAGTGCAGAGCACGTCGCGGATGACGATGTTGGAGGAGGAGCCCTTGATGGACACGTTGTCGTCACCTGCTCACGCGCGCACGGGCAAGTGAGAGGCGCAACTTGAGCTGTGAGGGTCGACGCAAGGCGAGAACAGAGAACGAGAAGCGTGACACGTACAGCGCGTTTCAAGCCAGGGCAGCGAGGCCGTCCCTACACTGTGCGAGGGCGAGTGCACCCACCTCTCTGCACCCCCGTCAGTGCACCCCCCGTGATTGCGCTCACCGCCGTGCAGCGTGCAGTTCTCGACGACGACACCGGAGGAGGAGGCGATGTGGATGGAGTCGGTGTTGGGGCTGTTGTAGGGGCTCGCCGTGCTGACCGCGTGGATGCGCACGCCCGCGCAGTACTTGATGCTCAGATGCATCATCGGCGGGTTGCTGCGGATGCGCGCCACGAGAGGGCGAAGGGGAGGCGGGAGTAGAGGGATGTGAGTGATTGTGTGGTCTTGGGTGTGTGTTACGTCTGCCATGAACCTGGCCAGACCTCCACCATACGACCTCAGCATATCCTCACCCCGCGGCTATCACCCCATCCCGTGCCGTACTCACACGAGCGTGATCCCCGTCACCTCCACGTGGCTGCTCTTCACGATCTCCACCAGGTACGGCCGCTTCGACGCGCGCCCCCACACGGCCTGTCCGCCGCCGTCGATGACGCCGCGACCGGCGAGGATGAGGTAGCGCAGGTTGTGCAGCGCGATGATGGGCGTCAGCGGGGAGACGCCCCTTGGATCCACTGTTATCGTCCCGTCCACCTGCGACGCACGCCGCACGGGGAGCAGGGCACACGCGGAGTAAGGCGCGGTAACATGGCCGTAGAGGCGCTTGGCGCGCAGCATTGGGGAAGGAGCATGATGGCGTGGCGCGAAAAGAAATGAGTCCCGCCCTCACCTGCACCCGCAGCCCCTGCCCGTTGCAGGGCCCTCTCCACTCGACGGACCGCGACTTGATGAAAAAGTTGAAGCCCCGCGGAAACAGCAGCGTCGCGCGCAGCGGGTAGATCGCGAAGTAGCTGCAGGCGGCGGCGAATGCACGTGAGAGGGCGGAGGTGTCGTCGGTCTCGCCGTCTCCTACAGCGCCGAATGAGCGCACGTCGAACACCCCCCCCGCGCCCGTGGCTTGCGGAACGGGAGGGAAGTTTGGAATGGTGGAGTTGGTGAAGCTAGGCGGGGGTGAAGTCGGCGGAAGCGGAGGTGGGGGAGACTGTTCCGGTGGAGAGGGAGATGAGCGCGGGGGAGAGGGAGATGAGCGCGGGGGAGAGGGAGATGCGAGCGGGGGAGAGGGAGATGTGCGCGGGGGAGAGGGAGATGTGCGCGGGGGAGAGGGAGATGTGTGGGGGGGAGAGGGCGATGTGAGCGGGGGAGAGGGAGATGAGCGCGGGGGAGAGGGAGATGTGAGCGGGAGAGAAGGAGATGTGAGCGGGGGAGAGGGAGATGTGCGCGGGGGAGAGGGAGACGTGCGCGGGGGAGAGGGCGAAGTGAGCGGTGGAGAGGGAGATGAGCGCGGGGGAGAGGGAGATGTGCGCGGGGGGGAGGGAGATGTGCGCGGGGGAGAGGGAGATGTGCGCGGGGGAGAGGGAGATGTGCGCGGGGGAGAGGGAGATGTGCGCGGGGGAGAGGGAGATGTGCGCGGGGGAGAGAGAGATGTGGCAAATGAAGGTGGAGGGGAGGAAGGGGGAGCAGAAAGTGGGCGAGGGGGAGGGGGCTTGAGAGGGGGTGGTGAAGGGGGTCGGGGCGGCGGAGAAGGATTCGTGGTTTGTGTGGAGCTGCTTTGTGGGGGACGAGGAGGCGGACGGGGAGGGGGGACGGGGAGGGGGACGGGGAGGAGGAGTTGTGGGTGGAGGGGGGCTGGCAGTGGAGGCAGGGGCGAGTAGCGTTCTTGAGGAGACGAAACCCGTCAGAGGCGGGGGAAGGGGAGGCGGATGAGGCAGCTCATGTCGCTGCAGACGATCGCTCGCGGCGAGGTGGATGCGACGCGAGGAGCGGAGAGACACTAGCGATGCATTCAACACCTGAGGCGGCGCAACACGATGGCGTGGCCAACGAGGGAGCGTGCGGCTGGAGGAGGAAACGCGGCTCCGATCAGCGGTGGAGGAAATGGATGGGGTGACGAGAAGTAGAGCTACGAAGTACATGAGACACGTCATGAGCGAATGCCGCTGCTTGCCTCACCCCTGCTGGCGCTATTTAAGATTAGATGGTTAAAAACTGATAAACTTGTCTGCCAGGGAATTAGAAAATCGAAATAACCATCAACGTAGGGTCTTACTGCACGCTCACAGTCAACACATACATATGGTATGATACCCAGCAGCAGGGGTAAATGCGGTCTTCTAAAACTGGCATAATGGGCATCTGGATGCGAGTGTCATGATGTGCGGGAGTGACGAAAATGGGGAGACTAGCAACTACGCCATGGATGGATTGGGGTTCGCGACACGGGAAAGCCAGAGCACTGCACACCACATCCAACAAATTCTGTTCCCGTGCTCCGCGGCTCCAGGGCGCGTGGACAGACAAATCTGCTGTTGTGCCTGCTGTTCTGTCTTTGGCGCGAACCCCGAGGCGCAAGTACCAATTGTCGGAATTTCTCATCTCGTGTTTTGTCAACAATTGTAAAAAAGCGTACATGGATAAAAATCTCGACTTGCTAGAAGTGAATTATTACTACATTACATGGGGTGTATCTTACAAGACATTCGCCGTCTTACATCTATGCACACATTTTAATGGCACAATGTCACAATGCTTGCACACCGGTGTCTCAAGGCCAGACCAGACCATTCCCAATTTATGCTGGTAACCCCGGTTCAACTTCTGCTAAGTATACCAGACAGCATTAGGCATGCACCAGCTCTATAGATGAAGAAAAAACGTACACGGTACGGTACCATAAAAAAAATTCCCACCACATGGGCACAGCACAGCACACACCTCGCTGCCATCTCTTCCTACCACACTGCCTCTCTGACTTGCATTGACCCACAGCAGAGCACCTACGGTAGTGAAGTGACTAAAGGTCCCAAGCACTCACAACAGGCTCTCTAGCAGCTCCTCCTTTGTCTTCTTCTGTCCTAGCCGCCTCACTGCCCCCGAGCCACTCCCCCCAGCCCCATTATCTGCTCCCTGCCCAGATACTCCAATGTCCGCTTCCCCTTCCTTCTCCACCGTGCTCTCGGTGCTCTCGGCACTGTCCGCGGCACTGTCAGCGGCAGGCACGAGGTACTTGGCCACAATGGCTTCGCTCTTCGCCATAATCGCCTCTGGCACCGTCGCCAGCACCTCGTCCAGCGCGCTCACTGCCGCCGCCGCCTGCTTCGCCATTCGCGCACGCCCGTCTGGCTGGTTCAGGCGGAGCAGCGTATCCAGCCCGCTTAGCGCCTCCAGACACCGCTCCGCTGCCGCACTCGCCACCGCGCCGGCCTCAGGACTGCCGGGGAAGTAGCCGTCCCCTCCCGGCGTGTAGGCCAGCCCCGCTGCCGCGCCTTCCGCCGCGTACCTTGTAATTGCGCGCAGGTCTCCGCGGAGAGTGCCCGCGGGCCCCGCTCGCAGCAGGGAGCGCGCCTGGTTGAGGTCTTCGGGGGTGGAGGCTTGGTCGTCGACGACGGCCTGGACTAGGAGCAGCTGCTCGCGCGTCAGCAGCACGGACGGCACGAACGACTCCAGCGGATCCAGCTTCTTCTTCTTGATATACCGGCTCAAACCGCGCTGTAACGCGCTCGGCGAGTCCCCGTCAGCTGCGGCGGCTGGCGGCGGAACGAGAGAAAGGCCGTCCCCGCAAACAGCTGAAGCGAAGGCTCCTAAGGCAAGCAGGGACTGGCGGCGAGATAATGTGAGGGCTGCTGGGGACTCACTGAGATTTGTCGAGTCAATTCCAAGACTCGAGCTGGCTTGGGACTGGACGGCGCCAGCAGGTGAGCGGGAGGAGGCATCAGCGAGCGACACGGACGTGTGCCTAGTGAGCCGAGTGGCCGTGCAGCGAGCGCGGGAAAGAAGAGAACGAAGCGGGTTGTTTGTCAAGAAAGGGCTGCGGGACAAGCACCATGGGAGCGCCGTGGATGGCGCGTGGGCAAGCGCCATAGCAAGTGAGGGATAAAAGGCGTGAGGAGCGGAACGGCTCTTGAGGAGATGAAAATGACACGTGTCGCTTTGATGGACGCCGTGGTTTTGTGCTTTGATCTGATCAGCACATGATATTTCAGCGATATAAGGTGCTTCTTGGCACGAATGTAAACCTGTCTCGAGTGTTCTACTACAGAACGTAGGCGTTTGTTTTGATTTGTTTCATATTTCTGGACTGGAAAGTAATCCCCCAGCCCATTGCTACAGGGAGTGCGGAAACACATATAATAGAGATATCTAGAAATATGGCCGAGATGACCTGCATCCTATGAGGAGCACTTATGCTCAAGCCTTATAGGAAGTGCTGATTCGGCCATAATTCGCCATAAGAAGGATAATTCCGTACAAAGAAGGATCATGTGAGGATAAGATTCATGCTTCAATGTTTTGAGATGGTATTCCGTACGCGTTAAAGAAGGACCCAGAGTGGAGTGCATCAGTACGTTGGATCCGATCGGACGGGCGCGTTCCTATCGCTCGACAGATAACTTCGTTCGATTCCCATCGCATCGCACCGCGCACAGTACAGTACACCAGGGGCATCTTTCCTCCCACTCCCATTGCGTGCCCCTTTTCAGTGCCCCACCGCCACACCACCAGACCAGAGCTCAGAGTCACAGTGCAGCACTCACGTTAGATGCCATAGATTCCCTAGCAGCCAAGTTACTGTAAAGAATCTATCAGCAGCGGCATTCGCACGCTGGAGACGAGTTTTCTCCGTTACAAGCAGCGCCGAACTGATCAGCTCCCATCGCGCCCCACAACCGCGCAGACCCCATTCGACTCTCTCCCCAGCCTGCCGCAACGACTCACCATGTCTTTCAAGAAATCCGCAAGCAGCCGGAAGCCGGCCGGCACGCTCGAGATCTTGGACGGCAAGAAGATCCTCGAGCTGGTGCAGGACGAAGCGGCATTCACGGCGCACCTCACGGCGGCCTTCGATGAGCTCGACGCCGACAAGAGCGGCACTTTGAGCCGCGCGGAACTGCGCCCGGCGTTTCTCCGCATTGCGCGCCTGGGGGGCCTGCCGGAGCCGGGCAGCAGGGCGGAGTTGGACCGCGCGGTGGACGCGGTGTTCGGGCTGCGGGAGGGCGGAGACGACGAGCGGGGCGTGCTGGGGAAGGACGAGTTCGTGGCCGTGTCCAAGGACGTGCTCACTGACATCGCCGCCTCGCTCGCAGGTCCCACCGCACCTGCTCATGCTCATCGCCACGTCGCTGCGCGCCATTGTCGCCACGGCTCGTTCGTTCCGTGCGCGCGCGCATCTCCACCGTGCACTCATCCGCCTGCACGCGTGCCTCGGCCATGGTCCAGTCGCAACACGTCTATGCTCTCCATCCTCTCCCTCTCGACTTCCCCCCGTCAATCCCTCAGCGGAGCCGCTCCTCGTGCAGGTGTTCAACGGAGCGGCGCTGCGCCACGTGGCGGGTAGCGCGGAGCAGCGAGCGGCGGTGGCGGAGGCGGCGTTCAAGCAGATGGATAAGGACGGCAGCGGCAAGCTGTCGAAGCAGGAGCTGCTGCCCGTGCTCGCCGCGCTCGGTATCGACGGCATGCCGCCTCCCCAAGGTCTGCCGCCGCGCATACCGCCCCTGCGTCGTTGCGCGTCCTCCTATGCCTCTGTTGCACCGAACAACCACACGTATCTCGTCAGTCAGTCCCCCTCCTCCTCTTCCCTCTCAACATCTTCCACCCCTCTCTCTCTCCTCTTCCCCCGCCTCCAACCGCCTCTTCCCGCCGTTCTGCCAGTGGCGGACGCCATGCTGTCGGCGCTGCTGGAGGAGTACGCAGCGGGCGCGGAGGAGATGGAGCGCGAGCAGTTCGAGGAGCTGTTTTCACAGCTGGCGGCGGGCATGGCGGACCTGCTCGAGGCGCAGCCTGCCGTCGCCGTGGAGGCGGCGGTCGTGCTCAACGGAGGGATGCTCAGAAAGGTGCGAGCACACACGCGCACGCGTCGCGCACACCCACACGCACCGCCTTCCATTCTCCCCAGTCAGATGCTTCCCCGCAGGGCTCCTTGCTTCTGCGGAATTCCGTCTTCTCCGCTCTCTCGTTCCCCCCTCAACCCCTCAATCCCTCGATTCCAATGCCCGCCTCTGCTCTTTGGCCGTGCCCGCACTCTCTCTCTCTCCCGTCCCCGTGTCACCCGCCAGATGCTCGCGAGCAAGGAGCTCTTCGAGGAGGAGGCCAGCTCGCTCTTTGCTGACTGGGACGTCAGCAAGTCGGGTCAACTGTCACGCGCTGACGTCATCAGCGGGCTACGGCGGCTGGGCATGGCGTGGGGGCTGCCCCCGCAGCAGGGCGGGGAGACGGACGCGCTGTTCGCAGACCTGTTCGCGGCGGCGGACTTCGACAGCAGCGGGTCCGTGGACCGCGAGGAGTTCTCCGCGCTGCTGTTCGCGCTGCTGACGTCCATCGCTGGGCAGCTGGAGCAGAACCCCATCGTGCTGGGCGTCAGCGTGCTCGTGGACCTGCCGGTGGGCGGCGAGGTGCTGGACGGCAAGAAGCTGCAGCAGCTCGTGGCGGACGAGGCGCAGATGGACGCGTTCCTCGCCACCAAGTTCGACCTGCTGGACCGCAACAGCGACGGCCGCCTGTCGCGCGCGGAGCTGCAGCCCGCGTTCCTGCAGGTGGCGCAGCTGCTGGGGCTGCCGCCGCCCGGCACACAGGAGCAGCTGGACGCGTTCGTGGCGGGCATGTTCGCGAGTGTGGTGTCGGACGACCCCCACGCCACTGTGGACCGTGACACCTTCGTGTCGCTCTCCAAGCAAGTGCTCTCTGCCGTCGCCCTCAAGATGAAAGGCACGCCCCACCCTAAACCCCATGCGTCCCGCCTTCCCTCCCTTTCACCTTTCCCCATTATACCTTACCAGTGACTTCCTCTCATGCACTGTACCACACTTCCCCACATCTTCTCTCCTCGCCCCTCCCCTGCGACCGCCCTTCCCCACCGTCGCCCTCCGCCCCGTGCGTGGCCGAGCAGAGGATCCGCTGGTGCTCTTCTCGTTGGACGGGGCGCGCCTACGGCAGCTGCTGGCGCCGGAGGCGGAGGTGGAGTTTGAGGGCATGGCGGGGGAGGTGTTCACAGCCATCGACACGGACGGCAACGGCGTGCTGTCCTTCTCCGAGCTCAGCCCCGCGCTGCAGGCCATGGGCGTCGCCATGGGCCTCCCCCCCGCTGGCTGTAAGCCGCGTACCCCTCCTTCCCTGTGCTCCATGGGCTGCTGCTGTGTGCGCACATGGCATGCGAGCGTGGCGTCGTGATGTGAACTGTCTCTGCCTGCCCACGCGGACATTCTCCCTGCCACTTCTCGTGCTTGCCTGCTCCCTTTCTGCGCGTCATCCTGTCAGCCGTCAACCCCTCTGCAACCTTTCCCGCCATCTTGCCACCACACCCCTCTCAACCCGTGCCCCGTGGGCGCAGTGAGGGAGAACGCGGACACGGTGGTGGCGGACGTGGTGGCGGAGTACGGGCAGGGCAAGCGCGAGCTGAGCCGCACGGACTTCAGTGCGCTGCTGCGCGACATGCTGGGGGACGTGGCGGCGCGCCTGGAGGAGCACCCCGTGCTGCTGGGCCACAGCGCCACCGTGCTCAACGGCTCGCGCCTGCGCAAGGTACACCCCAACCCACCTGCGCCTGCTCTGGACCAGCGGGCTTGCAGCCACGCCAGGCCACTTGAAAGGAGTGTGTGCTTTGTGTCTCCCTCTGGGAAATTCCTCCCTCTCCCCCGTGTGTCAACACGGTGGTACCCTCCTTTCTCACCCCCTCCCACTCCTCTCACCCCATGCGCCACCCCGCTCGTCCCGTGCACGGCATGGTGGCACGGCAGTTGCTGCAGAGCCCAGAGCAGCTGGATGCGGTGGCGGAGGAGCTGTTCCGCGACTGGGACACGCAGCACAAGGGCAAGCTGTCCTGCCGGGACGTCTGCGCGGGGCTGGCGGGGCTGGGCCCGTCGCTGGGGCTGCCACCGCCCGTGGCCAAGGACGCGGAGGGGTTCTACCGCGAGCTGTTCGTGGCGGCGGACATGGACGACAGTGGATTCCTGGACCGCAGCGAGCTGCGCTCCATGCTGCAGTCACTCTTTGAGAAACTCGCGAGCGAGCTGGAGGCCAAGCCCCTCGTTCTCGAATGCACCGTCATCTCCACCTGACCACCCATGCACTCATGCTGGGCCCTGCAACAGTGGCTACACATGGCTTGCCCAACCCTACAAGAGCGGACGGTGGTGCTTATACGAGTTGTATACTAGAGCGCATTGCACGGATGAGCAAGCACTGAAATTCTGAGGACATGGGGGCCATACCGACTGAGTTCTAGCAAGATTTCCCATGCACCTTCTGATTGGGTATTGGTATGGCCATATTGCTCACATAGAGTCATTTGAGGAATATCCAACCAACCGATATCATGCTTTGTCTGATATAATATATTTTTTTTTAAGCGTTTTATCGCTTTCAAATTTGCGTATTGTGAAAGCGAAGCTGACTGTAACGCAATTTGTGCATCGTCGAAGCGCGGTATTCGCCTTCTCCGAATATATAATGTGGGCTGGGGTCATTCTTCCCCCACCCACGTCTCTCATTTTACAATCGCTCAAGTTCAATTCCCACCCACCCTCCCCAGGCTAGTCAGCTTATGAGAGTAGTAGTTCTTAGACATTTTGGATGTGATAGTATATTAGTATAACTGCTAGGAACTGTTGTACTTGAACCCATTGTAATGAGAACGATGCCAATTGCGACAGAAGCAAGCTTTCTCAATTTACTCATTAACTGAAGGAGCACCTGTCTAGAAGATGACAACATTTGTACACCCACATCAACCCAAATGGTAGGATAGACTGCATAATTAGATTGGGTATCATCAGGACTAGCCTAACTCATATACGGTATAAACACAACGCATGGTAAGTCTAATAGGATTACGGTATGGCAGTTTTGACTTCCCTACATGTGAGCATGACTACAGGAGCTAGTGACCTACCGTACTGTACCTACAAGCTACAGCAGCAGTTAAGTGAAGTGCGACGCAGATGACCTACCTTGTGAGCAAGCAGCTGAGGAGCTCTACAGGATGTGGCTACCAGGATTTGAGTGGAGCAGCACGGCACAGCATGTGTCAGGGCATGTGGCGCAGGGTGGTGAGGAGGTCAGCATCGATGTGGCCGAGGCGCGCACACGCCACCACGGGCTCCGGTACCTCCCACTCGTTGTTGCCCTGCCAGGGGGCACGCATGCCACGCTCAGTGCAAGGGGCAACACGTTCACATGCATGAGCAGCGAGGGGTGTGCAGAGACAAGCGGTGAGTGACGGTGAGGGAGCAACACGTGGAGAGATGGAGAGTGAGACGGGGTTGGCAGGGCAGGGCAGGGCAGTCACCTGGGAGACGATGGCAATGTCAACATGGTGGGTGGGCAGTGCGCCCAGCACGCCCAGCAGCGGGCGGCGGCGGTCGTCCGGCACGCGGTGCAAGTCCACGTCCACCTCCAGGTAGTCCGGCCCCTGGGGGGTCATGGCCACACCCACGCACCGCGGGGCGCGAGAGAGTGCGGGTTAGGGCCAAGAGACACAAGGATAGCGTGCGTGTGCGAATGAGAGTGAGAGGAGGGACAAGGGTGAGACTGGGTGAGGAAGGAGTGCAGGGCAAGTTTGCGCAGGTGTTACCCAGGCACTGATTCTTGGACGAGGGTACCAAGAAACGTGCAGCAATGGTGATAAGGCACAGTGAGCAGCAGGGCGGGTGGAGCAGAGAGTTACCCGGAAGAACATCTGGCAGGGATGCACGAGCAGAGACGCACTCTCATCCCCCACTCCACTGCTCCCATCACTACCGCCCTCTGCCACCCCCTCCTCCGCTTTCACCGTTGCCTCCTTGCCGCTCGCCTCCCCTTCCTCCACGCCACTCTCCTCTGCTACTCCCTCCTGTGCCTTCCCCTCGTCACCCTCTCCCACACTCTCCCCCATCCCCTCCCCCGCACTCTCCCCCATCCCCTCCCCCGCACTCTCCGCCACTCGCTCGGCCGCCCCTTGCCCATGGGGGGCGCGTGGCGGGGCGCGCTTGACGAGGGTAAGCTTGACGCGCTCGCGGAACGGCACCGACCCACCCGCTCCCTCCGCCATGAAGCCCCGCGCCATGCCCTGCCATGCACATGCCACACACAGCCGTGTCAGCATGTGTACGGCATCATCACCCACTGCGATGCCCGCTGCAGGGACTCGACTTGCACACATGCACACCGCACCATGCAATCTCCTGGCCATGCATTCACTTGATGGTACTACACACACATGCACCCTGATCTCACACCAGGCACACAACACAAGGCGCTGCAGCACATGACACAGCAGCATGATTCACGGGCATGCAGCAGGAGGGGCTTACCTGCAGCAGGGGCAGCATGTTGGGCGGGGCGGAGAGGAAGAAGTCGCTGCAGACCTGCGCGTACAGCACCACGCTCACGCCCTCCGCGCGGCCCCCTTGTGCCACCGCTGGGGGCGCTTCCCCTGCCCCGTGTGCGTGGGGCTGCCTCGCCAGCTGCATGGGCGCCTGGGGAATGGCGCACGGGGGAAGAGGGAAGGGGGAGAGGGGAGCGGGGTTGCAGCAGATGAGCAATGCGGGCATGCAGTGAGTGAGTGAGTAAGTGGTATACCAAAAGAGGGGTGTGAGTGCGCAGGGCAGGCAGCAGCAGAGCAGGCGTGGCAGGGCGGACCTGGATGTTGATGACGAGGTAGGGCGGCCATGCCGACACCAGCGCTGCCACCTCCCGTGCACTCAGCGCACTGCCCACCGCACTGCTGCCCCCCGCTGCATCAGCGGCGCTGGGTGCCGTGTTAGTGGAGTCGGAGGCGTGTGGTGGCAGGGCGAAGGGCGCGGGGGAGGGGGCGGCGGAGGAGGCATGGGCGTGGGGGAAGGAGGTGAGGGGGCCGGGCAGTTGCACGAGGCGCGCGACATGGGTGAGCTTGGTGGGCGCGCGGAACACATCCACCGCCGTCACCACGTATGGCGCCACTGGGTGCGCTGCCCTCTCACATGACGTGCTGCAGGGATGATGGGGGTGGGTTTGAGGGGCGCAGGGGAGCAGGGAGGGAACGAGTGTGGGTGAGCGAGTGGTCATGATGATGTGGCACATGGTTGATGCTGGGTGGTGCGTGCAGCAGCAGCACAGCGCACTCACGACTTTTGAGACGTCTCAAAACTCACGAGAAGTAGTCGGCGCCGCGCACGCGGAAGCAGGAGGGCGCCACGGGCGTCCAGAAGTGCGTGCAGCTGTGGCTGTCCGCCTGGCCCCCCTGTGCAAACGACACCCCGCCCTCGCCCTCGCCCTCGCCCTGCCACGACCCCGCCCCAGTGCCGCCCTGCCCCGCACTGCTGCCGCCCGCTGCGCTGGCTTCCGCTTCCAGGTGGGCGGCGTACTCCGAGGGCGACAGGCGCGGCAGCTGCCCCGCCAGGGGCTTGCGGGACGTGCTGCGCACTGCAGGGGGACGGGGGGAGGGGGACGGCAGAGAGGCGAGGGGAGGGGGAAGTGGGAGGGGAAGGGAAAGGGGCAGGGGAGAGAGAAGAAAGAGGAACAACGGATGGGAAGAGGAAGGAAGGAGGCGAGAGGTGGACGATTGAGTGAGCAGATGGATGGCTTGTGGCCTGCCATGGCATGCAGGTCGTGGCCGCACTGCCCATCATCCCCTGCCTCTCTCCGTGACAGCGCTCCTGACAGCGCTCACCGCTGGCGGAGAGGAAGAGGCCGGGGCTATTGGCGCCCAGGGGCGACATGGCGGACAGCTGCAGCGAGTTGCAGCGCTGCAGCACTCCACTGCCCGTGCGAAGAGGGGGCGGGCGCAGCGGGGACATGGGCACTGCATGTGGGGCGGTGGAGGAGGCGCTGCTGGGCTTGGCGGCGGGCTTGCTGTCCGCCCCGCCAGCCTCCGCGTGGAAGGCGGCGGTGGCAGCAGCAGCGGCGGCGGTGGAGGCGGAGGCGTCGGAGGAGCGGCGCGCGGGGGCATGGCGGCCAGGGGAGGAGGGGCGGCGCAGGAAGGACACCAGGCGGTGCGCGGAGGGGGCGCTGGGGGGGCGGGGCGAGGGGGAGGGCGAGGGCGGAGCGGGTGCAGCAGCAGAGGAAGAGGTGGAGAGGGAGAATGGACGGATCTTGATGGGGATGAGCGATGGCAGCGAGGAGGCGGAGGGGGCAGTGTGCGCACTGGTGGACGAAGGGAGGGTGGGTAGGTCGGGGGGAGCAGCAGCGTCGATTGCAACAACAGGTTCGGACTGGGCATCAGGTTCAGTGGGAGCAGCAGTTTCGGCAGGGGCAGCAGGTTCGGTGGGAGCGTCGGGTTCGATGGGAACAGCAGGTTCACTGGGAGCAGCAGGTTCGGCAGGGGCAGCAGGTTCGGTAAGAGCATCGGGTTCAGTGGGAGCAGCAGGTTCGGCAGGAGCAGCAGGTTCGGCAGGAGCATCATTTTCAGTGGAAGCAGCAGGTTCGGTGGGAGCAGCAGGTTCGGCGGGAGCAGCAGGTTCGGTGGGAGCAGCAGGTTCGGTGGGAGCAGCAGCTTCGGTGGGAGCAGCAGGTTCGGTGGCAGTGACTGCAGCGGAAGCAGCAAGAGCAGCAGCAGCGGGTGGAAGGGCAGTAGTGTGAGTAGGTGAGGTGTGGGGAGCATCGTGAGCGTCAGCAGTGAAGGCAGCGCTGCCATCCGCGTCACCCAGCACCGGCGCCACCGACCCCTCACTCGCTGCACTCTCAGCCAGCACGGCAGCAGGGGGCAGCACAGCAGGCAGCGCGCAGGCAGAGGAGGCGGAGGGGGGCGCGGTGGCCAACGGGGCGAGGGTGGGGGTGAGCTGCGACGCTGCGGGTGGGGGCGTGGCGAGGGGGGGCGTGTCGGGTGCAGCAGGGGGCGTGGATGAGCCGGGGCCTGGGCGTGCGTCTGCTGCCTCTTCCAACTCGGGCACAGGTGGCAGGTCGTGGGGTAGCTTGCCGGCCAGGGGGGTGGCGGGCGCGGCAGGGGAAAGGGACGGTGGCGAGGAGGGCGCGGGCAGTTGCAATGGTACAGACTCTGGCAGAGGGGCCAGGGGGTGGTCAGGGAAGGCATAGGAATGATAGACGATTAGCCAGATACAGTTGCTGCTGAATGAATGTGTGTGCGTGTGCGTGCGTGTGAGCGCCTGTGTATGCAAGTGTGCGTGAGTGGAGGAAACAAGGAGCATGGGCGAGGGGCGAGGGGCAGCAGCAGCGACCCCTTGAGCGGCTGACCTTGGGAGTGCGCGTCGTCACCACTGCCCACGCTCAGAAAATTCCTCCTCCTCCTCATCCTCCTCCTCCGCTGCCTCATAGCCCCCAACCGCATCACCCTCTGCACCCTGCTGCTCCTGCCTCTCCACCTCCCCTTGCTGTTCCGAACGCTCCTCCGCCGCCTGCGCTGCCTCTGCCCCCTGCTCCTCCACGCCTTCCGCCCGCGCGTGTGCCTCCGCGGCCTTGCCCGTCGCCATGCCTGCTGGCGCCTCGCTCCGCTCTGCACAGCACGCCGGGCGTCAGGGCACAAGGGCGGATGGATGGCGGGGCGGGCGAGGGAGTTAACGGCGGAAGGGGTTGGCGGCAGACCAGGAGGGGCGGGTACAAGCACAATACGAGATATGAAGAGAGGGCGACGAGCGGGAGAGGGAGGGAAACGAGTCAAGGGAGTGGGGGGCGAGAAGGTGAGGAGGGAGGGGTGGGAGTAGAGGACATGGCGTGGCGGGGCGGCGGGGGGCTTGGCGGGACTCACGGGCCTTCATGAAGGCGTTGAGCGCCACGTTGGGGTGCACGGGGATGTCCTCCCCGAACACCCTCCGCCGCCCTGACTGCCCCGCCTCCTCCTCCCCCACCGCCTCCGCTTGCCCGTCGCCCCTCGCGTCCCCCTCAGCGCCCGCCACCTTCTCCTCATCTGCCACCTGTCCGCTGCTGCCGCCCGCCTTCCCGCTCTTTCGCCTCAGCTTGGGAAAGCACGTCGCCTCCTCTCCTCCCGCGCCCGCCTCTGCCAGTTCCCCTTCCGCTTTCGCGCCCACCTCCTCCCCATCCTTCTCCGCTGCGCTCTCCTTCGCTGCACCGTCCTCCCCCTTCCCCGCGCCCCCCTCCTTCTTTCCCCACAACGCCATCCCCGCCCACATGGAGCGCCCCTCGTCCGCGCGCCCGTCGCGCCTGTCCCCGCCGCTGAGGCAGTTCATCGTCACGCCGTCCGCCGGCACCACCGCGCTCAAACACCCCATCGATGCCGCCGCGCCCGCAGCTTTTTCCTCGCCGCCCGCCTCCGCGGCCCCTGCTTCCTCCGCCTCCTCTGCATCCGCTTGCGCCTTGTCCCCCTTCCCCGCGCCCCTAAGGACCTCCTTACCCGCTTCCTCCCCGCCTTCCCCCTCCCCAACCGCAACCACTACGCCTTTTCCGCCCTCCCCTGCTATCCCCTCTTCACCCGCCTTCTCCCCGCCGCTGGGTTGCGCGGAAGGGGAGGAGAAGTCGAGGTTCTTGCGGGCGGAGGGCGTGGAGGGCGGCAGCGACTCGATCTGGTAGCTCAGGCAGCTCACGGACGACAGCGACTCTGCCACGGGCACGGCGGGTGGACACGCGGAAACACATGCATCAGCGCGCGCGTCCTAACAGCGCGCACACAACCAGTAGCAACAAGCTCGCATACAGGCCGAGAGGCGGGCCGGCAGGTAGGTCGGCAATGGTAGGCAGCAGGTATCGCGGCATGGGAGGTGGACGCACCTGCTCCGGCGCTCTTGAAGTCGTCGTCCACGTCAGCCGCCGACTGCGCGTCCGCGAACTCCTCCGCGTCCGCCATCGCCTCCTCGCCTCCCGCCACCGCCCCTGATGCTGCGGCCGCGAGGCCGTCTGCGCGGCAGTGGGGGAAAGGAAAGAGTGGAGAGAGAGAAAGAAAGAAAAGGCAGAGGTAGCGGCGGCAAGATGGGTGCAAGCCATGGTAGGCGCATGGCGCATGGCGCATGGCGCATGGCGCATGGCGCATGGCGCATGGCGCATGGCGGAACGACATTGTGGTGGCCTCCAACTTTCTTTCCGCGCCTTCCCTTGCGTCGCAACCTCGGTGCGGGCATTGTCATTGAACCTGTCCGAGAATAAAATTCCAACGCCACGCCCCTCACCTTTTGCCTCCTCCCACGGTCCCCACCCAACCCGACAACCACCGAACGCGCAGCTTACCGACTGCTTTCGACGTTTTCCCCGCCTCCGCCTTTTCCGCTTGCGCCTCGCCATCCACTACGCTGCCCTTCTGTGCCTTGTCGGGAGCGGGTCCGCTTTGAGACGCGCCGAGCACGTCCGGCTTGGACAGGCAGCACCCCATCCTCGCGCGCCTCGTGCCCCCCCTGCTCTCGCGCTCCCGACTGCCCCACCCTGAACCGAAGCAACCAAAGTGCTTATCCGTTGTAACGGAGCTGCGCGTATCGAGGAGCAGACGGAGGATTGAGGACGGGGAGTGGGGAGGACACGGAGGACAGGGTATAATGCGGATTGCGGAATCAGGGAAAGGAGTGCGGCAAGTACGACGGTGTGGCAGGGTGACAAGTTCTGAATAAACGACGGAGAAGAATCGCGTGGACGACCGTGGCGGTTAAGACTTCCTTCCGCGTAGAGAGATCGTTTGGCGAGGAACGTTCAACACGTGGCAAGGCAAGCAGACAAGCTCACATGCAATTACGAGACGGCGATATATCCACGCATGCCCATGCTCCGGTTTGGCCGGACGGACTAGGGCTGACGTCTTCTATACGAACACCCTCACTACGGGAGACTACAGCGCGAAAGATACTAGGAAAGCAAGTCCGTGGTTCGGTTTGCATTGCCAACATTGGGAATGGAGGGCATTGCAGCTGACGGACTTCCCAATAAGCGCCTGCCCTGCCCATTTGTTGCTGCCCTCTTTTGCTTCTTGCTCTTCTCGCCTCGCCTCGCCTCGCCTCGTCTCGCCTTGCCGCCAGCCTCACTCCAGAGAGTTTTGCTCATTTTCGTGTAACCGCGGTTTGTTTTATTTTCGCCACGTGGCATGCATTTGATCGTGGGAACCGCGATTTGTTTTATTGTTCCCACATTTTTTAAGAGAAAGCTAGTTAAGTTTAGTGGATCACATGTACTGCCTTGCCCGCGGGCAAAAATAAAACCCTTATGGCAAGGGCATGCGTTAGGGATGCATCAACCCTAAACACAGAGGCAAGGTGTTTAGGGTTGATGCCTCCCTAACGCATGCCAGGCCCAAATGGGTTTTATTTTTGCCCGCGGGCAGCACCTTACAGAACTTAACTAAATTTGTCATGCACTTTGTGAGAAAAATAAAACAGATCGCGGTTCTCGCGATCGAAGGCGAGCCACGTGGCGATAATAAAACGAACCGCGATTCCGCGGAATTGAGCAAAACTCTCCTCACTCCACTTGTCCCTTTGCCTTCCGCCCAACCACCACCCTCCAGTCGATTCGGCTGGAGTGGAAAGGTTTCGCGCACCAACCAGCAGTCGATCGCGACAGATTGTTGCGACGTTTGCTCTCTACACCTCTACCGCAAAACTTGTCGCAAACACCCCCTAATTTCGCGAAGTCAACATTGGTAGGTTTTGCCACCACAACAGATTCTCGGCGCGCTTCGGCCCTGACGACGACGGTGACGATGACGGGGGCTGATGTGACGAAGACTGTAACGAGCTGGAACGAGATGTCTCCGACGTGGTTTAGTTAGGTCGTGTCCGAGAGGATGACATGTCAAAGTGGGCAGTGTCAATTTGGCATTTTGACACTCAGCCAACATTGTTGGCAGAGTGTCAAGAAATTGCAAGTTGGCCAGCCAATACAAATCGTCGGACACATTTGAATTTGGCACAGTCAAACCTACAAACGAGAGAAGATCGTCGCAGCTGCCTATCTCACGACTAGAATCCAATCAGCAGACACCGCCTCCTACTACCCTTCGCGTGCCTAGGAGACCCACAAATGACAACTTCACAAACCAATGAAATTGCGTCGCTGATGTTCGCACATGCGCTTCGACTTGACACTTCAGCTATAGTATATGACACTCCAAATCTAACGCGCTTCGGGTTGACACGCACATTGTTGACATGTCATCCCTACGGACACGAACTTATATCTAAGACGCGTCCTCACTCGTTCATTTGCCTTCGTGACCCTTCGACTTCGGGTCAGTTCCACTTGCGCACCCATTTCGACGTCACAGTTATTAAAATCTCGTGTGTACACTACAATAAAGCTGTAACTGACTGAGCCAGAGAAAGAATCTTTTCAGTAAACCTTAATGGGCGATGAGAAAACAAGTCTTGGCATGCTCATTTTACATAAGCCAATGTTCCGTCACTGCCCTTTTTAGGCTCAACTGTCTTATGAACGACACTGCCGACTACTCTACAAATGAAATGCAAGCAAACAGTGGACGCATTCACTCACACATGGCATCAAAAGCAAGCAAACAGTAGAGCTCCGGTACCAGGGAGAGAAGAAAAACAATTGCAGTCTGACAGTGGCGAAGAACCAATGTACACAAAAAAATCAGCAAGCAGCACTGGCAAACATGCGGGACCAAGTGGGGACCATTGTGTCAGCGCACCCGCATCTGGCAGCCATGCGCAGCACACCCCTCAGCAGAAGAACATGTGCTCCCTGACGCGGCCCTGCAGGGGTGGCAGCGGGCGCACCACGACTTCCCCAGCGCTGCGGCTGCTGCGGCTGCCGGAGCTCTCCCCCGTGGTGGCGGACGTGCCCGTGACCGTGGACGGCGCGGGGGCAGCGGGAGCGTGCTCAAAGGCAGTGGACTGCGAGCTGGTGTCGGAGAACTGGTCGGGGTCCATGTAGAAGCGCGCTCGGAACGCCACTATGTGCGCGTAGTACGCAGGCGGCACTGGCATGAACACATCATGGCGGGAGAGATGACAGAAGCATGACACGTTGATGATGGGCAAAGAGATACATGGGTGATGGCATGAGTGGAATGATTAACTGTGAAATGGTTTGACACATGGCTTTGCAATAAGGACAACTTGCAAGCATTTTGGGCAGCAGAGGACGTGGAGAAGGGTGAGAAGAACTCACCAACGGACACAGCACGAGTGCAGCGAGCATAGCTGCAAGAAGTGCAGACAAGGTATTGGAGAGCAGGGAGGGGAACATTAGATGGGTATATGGGCGGTAGATAGAAGTGGCTGGATATGCACTGATGACAATCGATCGTGGTGGGGATGCATGAAGCAGCGACGAGCATGCGACACAGCAGAGGTCATAAAGAGCATGGGCAGTGCGAGCGCAGTAAGGTGTCGTGGGACACCTAGTGACGCTCAGCGTGTGGCATCATGCAGGGCACGTGCATGGGTGGTGGGCGGCGAGTGCATACGTGTAGGCCATGGAGTAGGTCATGCGCTGCAGTGTGTTGGAGTCAAAGCCGTTCTCGTCATGCACCACGTGGTAGTGCGTCGGCCGGCTCGTGCCCTGCCATGCCCCAACCCCCCCCCCCCCCCCACACACACACGGCAACGGGGGACGGATAGTGGGAATGTGGTGGACGTGGTGACAGGTAAACGAGTCAAGACAACATATGTATGCGAGCATGAACGAAAGGGAGGGAAGAAGGGTGGGAGGGGTGGAGTAGCATGCAACACAAGCGCCGTCTGCTACAATATAACCCACAACACACGGCATACCAGTAGATAAAATCCTGGTTCCCATTACTGCCGTACACAGTTCGAGCACAAGCAATAAATGCATGTGGAAAGAGGGTGACCTGGATGCCAGAGTGCTGACCTGGATGCCGGAGTGCTGACCTGGATGCCGGAGTGCTGACCTGGATGCCGGAGAGCTGACCTGGATGCCGGAGTGCTGACCTGGATGCCGGAGTGGCTGACCTGGATGCCGGAGTGCTGACCTGGATGCCGGAGTGGCTGACCTGGATGCCGGAGTGCTGACCTGGATGCCGGAGTGGCTGAGCAGGTAGAAGTCGAACTCGGTGGGGTGGCAGATGCCCGTGTCGATCACGGTGCCGGGCAGGGCGTTGCCACTGCGGTCCGTGGTGCTGCGGTTGCGCGAGTCAAACGGGAAGAAGCGCGTGTGGTGCCGCTTCTGCACCACCGCAAATGTCACCAGCGGCCGGTAGTTCTCCTCCAGCGATGCACACGCCTGCACCGCACAGCACATGAACGCATGGAAGCGCACGCGCATGAATGCATCTCTGCCGTGGGCGCGCTCAGTGGCTCGCTACAGCACCTTCCCACACCCACTGCAGAGCAGGATGGGGCACTGAGATGCACAAAGGCAACGAGAGAAAGCAACACTGCACAGCTCCCCGGCGCCATGCCTCGCTCTCACTGCTTCCCCACCCATGCGTTAGTGCCCCACCCATGCGTTAGTGCCCCACCCATGCGTTAGTGCCCCACCCATGCGTTAGTGCCCCACCCATGCGTTAGTGCCCCACCCATGCGTTAGTGCCCCACCCATGCGTTAGTGCCCCACCCATGCGTTAGTGCCCCACCCATGCGTTAGTGCCCCACCCATGCGTTAGTGCCCCACCCATGCGTTAGTGCCCCACCCATGCGTTAGTGCCCCACCCATGCGTTAGTGCCCCACCCATGCGTTAGTGCCCCACCCATGCGTTAGTGCCCCACCCATGCGTTAGTGCCCCACCCATGCGTTAGTGCCCCACCCATGCGTTAGTGCCCCACCCATGCGTTAGTGCCCCACCCATGCGTTAGTGCCCCACCCATGCGTTAGTGCCCCACCCATGCGTTAGTGCCCCACCCATGCGTTAGTGCCCCACCCATGCGTTAGTGCCCCACCCATGCGTTAGTGCCCCACCCATGCGTTAGTGCCCCACCCATGCGTTAGTGCCCCACCCATGCGTTAGTGCCCCACCCATGCGTTAGTGCCCCACCCATGCGTTAGTGCCCCACCCATGCGTTAGCGCCCCATCCATGCGTTAGTGCCCCACCCATGCGTTAGTGCCCCACCCATGCGTTAGTGCCCCACCCATGCGTTAGTGCCCCACCCACGCGTTAGTGCCCCACCCATGCGTTAGTGCCCCACCCATGCGTTAGTGCCCCACCCATGCGTTAGTGCCCCACCCATGCGTTAGCGCCCCACCCATGCGTTAGCGCCCCACCCATGCGTTAGTGCCCCACCCATGCGTTAGCGCCCCACCCATGCGTTAGCGCCCCACCCATGCGTTAGTGCCCCACCCATGCGTTAGCGCCCCATCCATGCGTTAGCGCCCCACCCATGCGTTAGCGCCCCACCCATGCGTTAGTGCCCCACCCATGCGTTAGTGCCCCACCCATGCGTTAGTGCCCCACCCATGCGTTAGTGCCCCACCCATGCGTTAGTGCCCCACCCATGCGTTAGTGCCCCACCCATGCGTTAGTGCCCCACCCATGCGTTAGTGCCCCACCCATGCGTTAGTGCCCCACCCATGCGTTAGTGCCCCACCCATGCGTTAGTGCCCCACCCATGCGTTAGTGCCCCACCCATGCGTTAGTGCCCCACCCATGCGTTAGTGCCCCACCCATGCGTTAGTGCCCCACCCATGCGTTAGTGCCCCACCCATGCGTTAGTGCCCCACCCATGCGTTAGTGCCCCACCCATGCGTTAGTGCCCCACCCATGCGTTAGTGCCCCACCCATGCGTTAGTGCCCCACCCATGCGTTAGTGCCCCACCCATGCGTTAGTGCCCCACCCATGCGTTAGTGCCCCACCCATGCGTTAGTGCCCCACCCATGCGTTAGTGCCCCACCCATGCGTTAGTGCCCCACCCATGCGTTAGTGCCCCACCCATGCGTTAGTGCCCCACCCATGCGTTAGTGCCCCACCCACGCGTTAGTGCCCCACCCACGCGTTAGTGCCCCACCCACGCGTTAGTGCCCCACCCACGCGTTAGTGCCCCACCCACGCGTTAGTGCCCCACCCATGCGTTAGTGCCCCACCCATGCGTTAGTGCCCCACCCATGCGTTAGTGCCCCACCCATGCGTTAGTGCCCCACCCATGCGTTAGTGCCCCACCCATGCGTTAGTGCCCCACCCATGCGTTAGTGCCCCACCCATGCGTTAGTGCCCCACCCATGCGTTAGTGCCCCACCCATGCGTTAGTGCCCCACCCATGCGTTAGTGCCCCACCCATGCGTTAGTGCCCCACCCATGCGTTAGTGCCCCACCCATGCGTTAGTGCCCCACCCATGCGTTAGTGCCCCACCCATGCGTTAGTGCCCCACCCATGCGTTAGTGCCCCACCCATGCGTTAGTGCCCCACCCATGCGTTAGTGCCCCACCCATGCGTTAGTGCCCCACCCATGCGTTAGTGCCCCACCCATGCGTTAGTGCCCCACCCATGCGTTAGCGCCCCATCCATGCGTTAGTGCCCCACCCATGCGTTAGTGCCCCACCCATGCGTTAGTGCCCCACCCATGCGTTAGTGCCCCACCCACGCGTTAGTGCCCCACCCATGCGTTAGTGCCCCACCCATGCGTTAGCGCCCCACCCATGCGTTAGTGCCCCACCCATGCGTTAGCGCCCCACCCATGCGTTAGCGCCCCACCCATGCGTTAGTGCCCCACCCATGCGTTAGCGCCCCACCCATGCGTTAGCGCCCCACCCATGCGTTAGTGCCCCACCCATGCGTTAGCGCCCCATCCATGCGTTAGCGCCCCACCCATGCGTTAGCGCCCCACCCATGCGTTAGTGCCCCACCCATGCGTTAGTGCCCCACCCATGCGTTAGTGCCCCACCCATGCGTTAGTGCCCCACCCATGCGTTAGTGCCCCACCCATGCGTTAGTGCCCCACCCATGCGTTAGTGCCCCACCCATGCGTTAGTGCCCCACCCATGCGTTAGTGCCCCACCCATGCGTTAGTGCCCCACCCATGCGTTAGTGCCCCACCCATGCGTTAGTGCCCCACCCATGCGTTAGTGCCCCACCCATGCGTTAGTGCCCCACCCATGCGTTAGTGCCCCACCCATGCGTTAGTGCCCCACCCATGCGTTAGTGCCCCACCCATGCGTTAGTGCCCCACCCATGCGTTAGTGCCCCACCCATGCGTTAGTGCCCCACCCATGCGTTAGTGCCCCACCCATGCGTTAGTGCCCCACCCATGCGTTAGTGCCCCACCCATGCGTTAGTGCCCCACCCATGCGTTAGTGCCCCACCCATGCGTTAGTGCCCCACCCATGCGTTAGTGCCCCACCCATGCGTTAGTGCCCCACCCATGCGTTAGTGCCCCACCCATGCGTTAGTGCCCCACCCATGCGTTAGTGCCCCACCCACGCGTTAGTGCCCCACCCACGCGTTAGTGCCCCACCCACGCGTTAGTGCCCCACCCACGCGTTAGTGCCCCACCCACGCGTTAGTGCCCCACCCACGCGTTAGTGCCCCACCCATGCGTTAGTGCCCCACCCATGCGTTAGTGCCCCACCCATGCGTTAGTGCCCCACCCATGCGTTAGTGCCCCACCCATGCGTTAGTGCCCCACCCATGCGTTAGTGCCCCACCCATGCGTTAGTGCCCCACCCATGCGTTAGTGCCCCACCCATGCGTTAGTGCCCCACCCATGCGTTAGTGCCCCACCCATGCGTTAGTGCCCCACCCATGCGTTAGTGCCCCACCCATGCGTTAGTGCCCCACCCATGCGTTAGTGCCCCACCCATGCGTTAGTGCCCCACCCATGCGTTAGTGCCCCACCCATGCGTTAGTGCCCCACCCATGCGTTAGTGCCCCACCCATGCGTTAGTGCCCCACCCATGCGTTAGTGCCCCACCCATGCGTTAGTGCCCCACCCATGCGTTAGTGCCCCACCCATGCGGTAGTGCCCCACCCATGCGTTAGTGCCCCACCCATGCGTTAGTGCCCCACCCATGCGTGAGCGCCCCACCCCTGCCTGACCTGCTTGATAGCCGCCACCTCGTATTCCTTGACTGCCGCAAACTGCCCGTCGCTCACTCCGTCCCTGCACGACCACACACGCCCACCCGGGAATCGAGCAAGGAGGGCGGGCGGAAAAGAAGGGCACTATGGGCATGGAGCTAGTGAGGCAGCGGCAGAGAGGGGGGACTATTCTGGTCACGAAACGAGTGTGAACAACGCACGGGCAGGGAAGGCGTGCGGGGAAGACAAGGAGGCCATGCTCGGGTGGGCGTGTCGTGGATGATGGGGCAGCACAACACCTTGGAAAGAGGACAAGGTTGCAGGGGGGACAAGTGCCGTGAGAGGGGCGCGGGACACTTTGGTAATAGAGAAAATGCGATGGGGCACACACCTGTACATGACGACACGCTGGGGCTTGTGGCCCGTGGAGCGGTAGAAGCTGATCAGCAGCTCCCTGTGCACGCACACACACACCAGTGGGGAGAGGGGCCGCACACACAAGACGGCAGGCAGTGCAGTGATGGTGGGAAGAAGGCGCAGGACAAGGCAGGTCAGGGAAGAAAAGAGCTGAGCAGGGAAAAGCAGAGATGGGCAGAGGTGGGTGGGCAGAGGTGGGCAAAGGTGGGCAGAGGTGGGCAAAGGTGGGCAGAGGTGGGCAGGGCAGGGGGCAGGAGGAGGAGGGTACCTGACCATGCCGCCGTGCTGCGGCATGCCATTGGCGTCCTGCGTGCACGTGTAGAGGTTCTGGATGATCTCCACTCGGTGCGCCTGCGCTGTGACGAGCGCCCGGTAGCGCGCCATCTCCGGCCAGTCCATGGACGCCACCACCTGCCAGCCCCACACAGGAGAGCACCCACACAGACAAGGCACACACACACCGGGGGCGCACGGTGAATGAGAGAACGGCGAACGGGCGAATGGGAGCACGGCGAACAACTGAATGGGAGAGGTGGACGGGGTGAAGGGGACTGGCAAGCGTACGCAGCAATTGCAGGATGCATGTGGGAGGGGGATCATTCAGAACCTCTACATCTGCAGTTAGGAGCTCTCTAACAGAGAGCTGGACGGAAGGGCAGGGGAGGGAAGGGAGAGGGGACGGGGAGAGGGTGCATGGGGGAGGAGGAGGAGCGGCGAGGGGCTCACAGCGGCGATGGAGGGGCTGTTGTCCTCGCCTGGCGAGGGGTGTGTGACGTCAGCACCGAATAGGATGGTGTGCTCCTGGCACACGAGGGGGATCTGCCGCTGTATCGAGTCCACCAGCGCCGTGTTGCGGCCCCCCACCTGCCACACCCATGCCATGCCACGCCACACAGTCAATACGAAGAACAACAAGTGAGCAGCACGAGCAGCATTATGAGACACAGAGGTCACATGAGCTGTGCACAGGGGAGACATGCACGCAAGCTTATATTCCATTCCCTCTTCTTCCCTTCCCCTTTCTACTCATCCCCTCTCTATTCATCCCCTCTCCTTTCCCACACCCTTTCTTCCCCTTCCCCATCCTTCCCTTTCCCAAATTCTACCCCTCCCCTCTCCTTTCCACCCCCCATTCTTCCTCTCCTCTCTCCTTTCCCTCCCCCCTTCTTCTCCCCTCTCTTTTCCCTTCCCTTGCCTTTCCCTCCCTTGTCGTCCCCTCCCCCCTTCCTTCTCCGCAGTGAACCACTCGGAACCCATGTGTGTGTGGGGGTAAAGGGCAGGGCAGGGCACCTTGGCATTGATCTTCAGCGCCACGTTCGCCAAGTACTGTTTGCCCTTGCCTAACTTGGTGGCCAGGCAGCACTGCACGCACACACGGGCACGGCCACGAGGAGAGGGGAGGGCGGCAGGGGGAGTGCAGGTGAGTGCGGAGAGCGCGTACAAGGACAGCGGGTAGGCGCGCGGGACAGTAGGGAAGCTTGTGGAAGAGGACAGCGAGGTGAAGAGATTGTAAAATGTGGGGGACAGTGAGCATGGAGGAGCGAAGGGGCGAGGAGGACGGGCACCTGTGTGACAATGCCGAGCTCGGTCTCGCACAGGCGCTTCAGATTGCCTGCCAGGCACGCGCGCACAGGGATGGGTGGCTGGAGAGGTCAAGCAGGCCAATGCTGTGCAAGCCACAGGCATGCATGCCGCATGCACAAGAATCGGTGCCTAAGACCGTTGGAGAAGAAAAGGAGAGTGGGAGGAAACAATGGCTACTACCATGGATGATTGTCAGCCTAGTGCAACTGGAATGGAGGGGGGCGGTCAACGACAGGAAAGCAGGTGGGGGGCAGGCAGGGAGCGGGCGGGTGTGAGGAGCGGGGTACCGTAAAGAGGGCCGTTGCCCTCATTAAGGATGCAGACGACAATGTCGACGTCGGGCATGGGCCGCTGCGCGGGGGTCAGCTGGCGTGCCAGGCTGCGCAGAATCGCTTCCATCTGCCCCGGCTGCCCCCCCACCATCGGCACGCACATTCGCTGCTCCATTTGCTGCTCCCCATGCACACGCACACACGCAAAGACACAGAGCATTGTTTTGTTTCAGAACCGACTGATGACTGCAGAGGACACATGCGTATGGCGGGAAAACAATCGAAAAGAGAAGGGGGAACCAGGCAAAAATGAAAAATCGGGCAGAGAACGGATGGGTAGGTGGTCGCGCAAGAGGAGGTGCGAGTGAGAGAGACAAGGGAAAGAGCAGCGGCGTGCAGGAGGGAGGTGGAGCACGCACGAGGCCGGTAACGTTGCACATGTGCGCGAGGTCTCGGCCAAACTGCTCCGCTGCAGGGCGCGGCAGTCGACTGAGGTTCACCAGAGCCCAGCGCCTCACCACCGCGCCCGTCAACACACGCTGCAGAGAAGAAGGGGTAGTGGCATGAAATCATGTGCCGTCACCATGCTGGTTCTTCCTGCATGCATGCAGTGCACCGCGTGCATATGATCATTCCATCACAGCTGCGGATACACGATGGTCAAATGCATGGCAGCGCGGTGCAATGCAGAGCAGCAGGGTGCAAGGCAGAGCAAAAAAAAAAGGCGCAAGGCAGAGCAGCAGGGCGTGCAAGGCAGGGCAGCAGGGCGTGCAAGGCAGGGCAGCAGGGCGTGCAAGGCAGGGCAGCAGGGCGTGCAAGGCAGGGCAGCAGGGCGTGCAAGGCAGGGCAGCAGGGCGTGCAAGGCAGGGCAGCAGGGCGTGCAAGGCAGGGCAGCAGGGCGTGCAAGGCAGGGCAGCAGGGCGTGCAAGGCAGGGCAGCAGGGCGTGCAAGGCAGGGCAGCAGGGCGTGCAAGGCAGGGCAGCAGGGCGTGCAAGGCAGGGCAGCAGGGCGTGCAAGGCAGGGCAGCAGGGCGTGCAAGGCAGGGCAGCAGGGCGTGCAAGGCAGGGCAGCAGGGCCTGCAAGGCAGGGCAGCAGGGCGTGCAAGGCAGGGCAGCAGGGCGTGCAAGGCAGGGCAGCAGGGCGTGCAAGGCAGGGCAGCAGGGCGTGCAAGGCAGGGCAGCAGGGCGTGCAAGGCAGGGCAGCAGGGCGTGCAAGGCAGGGCAGCAGGGCGTGCAAGGCAGGGCAGCAGGGTGTGCAAGGCAGGGCACCAGGGCGTGCAAGGCAGGGCAGCAGGGCGTGCAAGGCAGGGCAGCAGGGCGTGCAAGGCAGGGCAGCAGGGTGTGCAAGGCAGGGCAGCAGAGCGTGCAAGGCAGGGCAGCAGGGCGTGCAAGGCAGGGCAGCAGGGTGTGCAAGGCAGGGCAGCAGGGCGTGCAAGGCAGGGCAGCAGGGCGTGCAAGGCAGGGCAGCAGGGTGTGCAAGGCAGGGCAGCAGGGCGTGCAAGGCAGGGCAGCAGGGTGTGCAAGGCAGGGCAGCAGGGCGTGCAAGGCAGGGCAGCAGGGTGTGCAAGGCAGGGCAGCAGGGCGTGCAAGGCAGGGCAGCAGGGCGTGCAAGGCAGGGCAGCAGGGCGTGCAAGGCAGGGCAGCAGGGCGTGCAAGGCAGGGCAGCAGGGCGTGCAAGGCAGGGCAGCAGGGTGCGGCAGGTGACCTTGTTCATCATGTTCCAGGCGCCCACTTGCGGCACCACGGTGCGCTCTCCACCCGAGTCCGCGTACTTGAGCTGCAGAGGGCACACACCGCACACAGGGGCCACGCGAGCATGAGGGCAGGGCTTAGCAGCACAGGCGGCACGAGGCATGGTGTGGACGGAGAGGGTGGCATGGCGGAGAGAGCACAAGGGAGCGTGTGGTGGTGGATTGGTACCGTGGGCGTGGGCAGCACTCGTGCGTTCACGGTGGCCATCTGGGGCGCCACTCGGATGCCAAACTCAGCCGCGAAGGGGTCGCGCTCATACGCGTTGTGCCGCACCGTCTGCCATGCGTGCACGCATGCAGCACACGCACGAGGAAGGGTAATCGGCACACTAAGCAACACATCTCAAGGCGATCAAAACTTTTGTGTAGCAGACAGACAGAAGGGGGTGCTGTTTTGCTGGACGTCGAGTCAGCAACTAAGTTACATTCTCACACATCAACTCAATCTCCTTCATCCGTTCCCCCCACATCCACTCCCTCCTCTTCCCTCCACACATTTCGCTCCTTCAACCTCCTTGGCTCCCCCCCATCCCCCCATGCAACCATGAGCAGCATGCATTTCCCCCCGCGGCACTGACCTGGTTGATCTCGCGCTCCCGTTCAAAGGGCTTGCGAGCGGCGTGCACGAGGATCTGGCTCGTCTGCACCTCGTTCAGCTTCTTATTGTACCTCTGCCCCTCCACGATGCGACACACCTGTGCGCACACACACACGCCCATGCCACACACCCACGGGCAGATGCGGCCGGGCGGGAGGTGCATAGGCAAGCACACAAGAGCACGGTACATGCTTGCAGACGCAGGGTGCAGGGCAGGGAAGTGGCAGCGAGACGAAGAGCACTTGGTGGGAGGCTTGGGGCGACGGCAGGTGGAGCAGTGGAGAGCACACGTGGCGAGCACAAGGAGCTAGCGGGTGGGTGGATGGCGGGCGGGCGGGCAGGTGGGTGGGGTTACCTCAAGCGGGAGGTAGTTGAGGCGGTCGCCCTGGCCGGTGGTGGCGCAGGGCATGTTGCGCAACTGCAGGGCGAGGTTGTAGTGCTGGCGGAAGTACGCCTCCACCGTCACCACCTGCGTCTCCCCCTCGGGGGTCGTCAACGGGAAGCTGCACCACGTGCGGTGGGGTGCACACACGCCATGGGAGGTGGACACACAAGCGTGGGAAGGACGCAGGGACGAGGGTGGGCGGGGGGACACGCCAAGGACGACAGGGGACAGCAAGGAAAGGAGTAATGGAAGGAGCGGTGGAGTGAGGGAGAGCAAGGAGAGGTGGAGCGGTGAGGGGGCGCGTACGTGAGGGCGTGCAGCGGCTGTGTGGTGAGCCCCGTAAGCTTGTACTTACGCCGCATCTGCCCGCGGTGCGTCACCTCTATGCGTACACCCCTCAGCCCCTTGCGCAGCTGCCAGAGAAGGGGGGGGTGGGGGGGGAAGAGTGAGGAGATGGTGACGCACTAAGCAGGAAAAGTGCATGGAGGAGGCGGGGAGAAGAAGAGACGACTGTTGGTTTCGCGGGGTGCAGGAAGAGCGAGTGGCGCGAGGTGGGTGGCAGGAGCCGTACCGCGACGCGCTCAAAGTCGGAGAGTGGGTGCTGCAGCGAGTGGCGGTTGAGCAGGCGCATCACGAAATCTGGCAGCATCAGCGGCTCCAAGAACGCCGTCGCCGCCATGTCTGCTCACGACCAGAGGGGGGGAGGAGGGGGGGGGTGCGGGGGAGACGGGGGCGGGGAGGGAATTGGCGAAGAGAGGAAGATGGGGACGCGTGGCAGCGAGGAGCAGGGTGGAAAATTGCGGTCAGGGAAATTTTCGCTTGGAAATTTTCGGTGGAAAATTTCGGCGAAATTTTGTTAGACCTTCAAAAAAATGTCCAAAATTTCATGGCGGCGATATGCCAGATATATGCAGAGATCTGGTGCCTAAATGGCAGATCCACCTAGAACTGCCAGCGAAATGTCAGTTCCGCCTAGATCTAGTGGTGAAATGCCAGATCCGCCCGGATCTGGCAGTGAAACGCCAGATATATGCAGAGATCTGGTGCCTAAATGGCAGATCTGCCTAGATCTGGCAGCAAAATGCCAGTAAGATTTGCCCTATCTTTTTTTTCCCATTTATTCGCATTTTTTTCTATTATTTTATGGAAAATTTCGGACGAAATTTTGCACCATATTGATATATTTTTTTTCTGACCGAAATTATCGAAAATTTCGGGGGAAATTTTCGACGGCGAATTTTCCGCCCAATTTTTGAAAATTTCGGCGAAATTTTGCACCCTGGCGAGGAGGCATGAGGGCGAGGAGGCATGAGGGCGAGGAGGCAAGGCGGCTTACCGATGTTGAGCGTGAGCCCCATCTGAGTGGGGCGCACGCTCTGATAGAAGCCCTTCCACGCCTCCACGCCGTTGCCGATGGGCGCGCGCGGACCAAGGTCCGGACTGAAGAAGGACCGCGCCACGGGCACGTACCTGCCGCATGCCATGTGGGTGGGGAGACACGGCAGGGGGGCGATGCGCAGGAAGTGGAACGTTGTTAGAAAGATAAGGGGGCGCTGAAACAACAACAAGGCACAACACATGCGTCCGTACGATCTCCACCCACACACAGTACGTGACCCAGAGCGTGCAGCAGCGAGGGGCGTGCACGCACATGCGAGTGGGCTGCTCCCGCAGCACGATGTCAATGGCCTGCAGCACCTCCTGCGGCACGTCCGTCTGCCGCCCCGCCAGGAACTCCATCAGCTGCGACACGCTCGCACTCGCCGCCAGCCGCAGCACCACCTTGAACGACCGGTCGCGCGGCCGACTGGTGGGGAAATGACGGGAGGGGGAGGGGAGCGAAGAAGCATGTATGGCGGCAAGCGACATGAGGTACGCAAGGCCGCGCAGTGTGCAGCGCGCATGCAGGGGAACGACGTCAGCATGCGCGCTGGGGCACGGGAGGGAGGTTACCGCGACTGAGCTTCCCCTGCCGCCGGGGCTGGACGGTCGTCGGGCAGAGACACCTGAAACTCCTGCGCCTCGAACGGTAGCGGCGCGGCCGTGTACACGTTCTTGACGCCGTCGAAGGCCAGCAGACGATTTCCCAGATGCGACGAATGATACACGCGCGACAACTCGCGAATGACCTCCCGGTTGATCCGCTTGATCGCAATATCAGGGGAGATAACAACCTGCACAAAAGATTCGAGAATTAAGTGTATACTGAAGACAAAACACCTTGGAATTCGCACAACGCAACTAAGTTAAATCGCTGGAGCATAAAGCAAAAGCACGTTTCAACCGCTAACTGTCGCCGCTTTCTACAGTCTCACGCACATCGTAGTGATAAATGACGAGGTCCGCAATCTGAAGCGGAAAATGGTTCACACGGATCTTCATGATCTGCCCCACAGTGCCCCCTCGGTCAGGGCGTCGCGGGAACGGAGAGGTGACGCCGGAGGGGCGAGACATCGCGAGTCCAGTGAGCTGCGCGACGACTGCCTCGGTGGACGGCGCTGCGGTGGGCGGCAGAGGAGCGGGTGCAGGCGGTGGGACGGACGGCGCCGCCACTGGCCGAGGAGCAGCAGGAGCCGGGGGTCCAGCGGCAAACGGTGCTGGAGGAGCGTACGGCGCAGCAGGCGCCTCGTAGTAGCCAGGCTGCGGCGCTGGCGGGTGCGGCTCGTATGCAGGCGGCCCGCGACCGCCACCTCCTCGACCTCCTCCGCCGCCCCCACGGCCTCTCGCGCCGAAGCGGCCTCCCTGACCTCGACCCTCCCCTTCTGACGGATAGCCCCGTCCACCAGAAGGGCCCCTGCCCCGACCTCTCATTTCCGGTCCCCCTCGACGACCCCTCCCACGCCAACTGCCACTGTCTCCGGAACCAGACGACATGGCTCACTATATCGCTTAAACTTGGAATAACTGCCGACAGGGTGGAATGACACAGCAGAAGTGCGATATCAATGAAGCATATGTTGCGCCGATTCTGTAGTTGAGAATTGCTTGTAGTGATGGAATGTGGGATACAAAAAAACTGCCAAGACTCTGTTCACATCGCAACACCCGAGTGTGAACCCTGGCTCCCCTGGGTAGTGCTGGGGGGACAGAAACCGAAGCTGCAAGCCCAGCCCCAAGCCTCCATCCAAACCGACTGAACAGGCCAAATCAAGGCTGTCCACCTCATCCGCTGAGAGGGAACCGTCGAGCAAGCCTGAAAGCTTTCATGCAGGGAAGGCATGTCACCCGAACGGTGTGGTTCGGCACATGAACCAAACCTCGAATAACTTCATGGATCGAATGTCCCGTTATTAGACTTTCCTTCCAATGAACGTTCAAAGCAGCTCAGTTTAGCAATGTAAGTTACCCGTATATCACGTGCTGTCTAGCATTTTATGTGAGGAAAGGACATCACCCCCACAAAGAATTTCAATTGTCTACTTGTTGGAGAGGGAGAACCTAGTGAGTTGGTGAGAACGGACGTGTGGGTTGGGGGGCAGGGTGAGAGAATGGAGTGGACGGGGGGAGAGTTGAGAGAGTGGATAGTACACATGAGAAGGCTGAACATCAGCCTTACACGGTAGTGCAAAATTAGCGTTTTTAAGCTGACTTCTGGGGACTTGGTCTCTGTGGTCATTAACTAGAAATTGCATTGTAGAGTCAGATATCTGAACACGCTTGATGCTTCTTCATCGGGTCTACAGAGTACCTAGAGCACCAACATACTACAGTAGGTATGTCTAGTTGACACATACCGTACCTACCAATTCTGGAGGTTAGTTCTACAAAAAAACTACGGTTAGGTTGTTTCACCTATCCTTCATATATATAGATAGAGACCAATGGTAGGCATGCCGCACCCAGCCAGTTTGTGCTGAGTTTGCAGGGTCCGTCTGACCATTCTACCATATGTTCATGTCATCCCCCTGTCAAGAATATCCAGTACAAAGCCTCCCAGGCGTCCAGCACATGGTCAGAAGAGCGGGCTGCCCAGCAGCAGCTTGACGGTGGTCCAGAGGAAGGACCACGTGGACATGGACCTCAGCTGCTCCGACACTCGCACCACCGCCGACACCAGCACGCCCATGCTCCACGCCTGCCTGCCGCCCTTCCCCACACCGCCCACTACATGCGCTGCCTTGCCACTTTGCCCACACACCATGGTGCCCCTGCGCACGCACAGATCAGACACCATCCCGCCTACCGCGGCCTTGCTGCGCCGCGAGCAGGAGGGGCAGAATACAGCTGCCGGCCTCGCATACGCATTCGGCAAGTGAGGAGAGAACCGCTCGGCCGTATCCTCTTTGTCGCATGGCGCGCATCCGCTGTCCGGCGACCGTACAAGGTGCACGGATTCGGGGTCAATTATCAGCGACGACGGATAACACGGAGCGTGCTGCCCCGGCCGCGCTGAACAGGAGTCAGCGCTCGCACGGGTCTCCGCAGCGGAAGGCACCGCTCGGCAGCACACACACTCGCACTCTCGCCGCCTCCACTCCTCGTCCATCGGCCACGACAACTCCGCCGCACGCGCGGTCCCCCTCTTTCGGTCCGACAAACCCGACCTGGTAACGGCTGCTGCCGCGATGCCTCCAACGGCGAGGCGCGAGAGAAGGCTGGAGCGAATGCCTTTGGCGACTCCCTGTTGGTACGACGCCATGAGATGGCGCGTAAAGAAGTTGAAATTGAGCGACAACGCGAAACCCATCTGCCGCGGCCACTCGCTTAAACACTCCGCTTGCACCAGGTGTACAGCCGTGTCGCCACAATGCGCCGCGGGGTCCAGAAAGAGAAAGTTCCCCGCGAAGGCGTACTGGTCGGGAGTGCGTGACGGCCAGAGCAGCTGAATGGCGCTGGTGAGAAGCAGGCGGATGGGCGGCGGGATGAACGACTCGGCGGCGTGCAGCATGTTGGCTACGGGCAGGCGCGTTGCGTGCTGAACCACGCCCAGAATCACGCGCACCAAACGAAACGTCTCCAGCGCCTCCGCTGCCGCTCCCCGGCCTTTCAACCGCTGCACGAGCGACACCAACGGTAGCAGGCGAGGGATGAGGTCATGCTTCGATACCACGTGGCAGTAGACGTCGCGATGTTTATCGTTAATGACATCAGCGAGGTCTGGACTGGCGAAAAGCGGCGAGCCAAACGTGATGCACTGCACCCGGCCGCCATGCGTGCAGAGACCCTGTTGTTCCGCGGCTTCGACGAAACGGAGAGTTAAGAGTGACGCGACAGCTCCCCCAAGCGAGTGACCAGTGAAGACGAGGCAGTGGCCAGCCGCGAGCAGGTCGAGGAACGGCTGCAGAGGCACCCTCTCTGCGCGCTCGACGAAACCAGCGTGCGCTGTGCCTCCAGAAGCCACACCCTGAACGTTCCGAGGGAAATACTTGAGGTCCTGTACGACGTCCCATACGTCCGCGGTTCCACGGCAAGCGATGACAACGTGGCCGTGCGTGCTGCGTCCAACCATTACAGGCTCGTGCGGATGCCGACCTCCCGGAAAGCTGTCAAGATGGAGCAGGTCCAAGGCGCCTCCTGGGAGGTCGTCAGTCGACTGAAGAATTGCCGACACGGTGTCATCGGAGGTTTCGTAAGAAGCTAAGGAAAACACAAACGCATCTATCATCTGCTCACAAAACCCCGAGCGAGAAAGACGATCCACAAGCCGCACCATGATACTTGCACAGAAGTAAACAGCGAACTTGGCATAGACTCGGAGAAGGGAGAGATTATAAATCTCAAAAAGTGCATAAAGCTGCGGTTGTTGTTCTGATTGGACTAGAGGCTACCAAAGAAAGTGAAAATCCTCGGATACGGCAAGGGTTCAGCTTGGGCGGAATGGCATGGCACAATACAGCAGGGAAGCTGGAGCAGCTGCCTGAGCTTGGTTGGCGGGCATCCTCGCGACGCACTAGTACAACGCGTCGAAAGCAACGGGTGTCAGCTAAAGTCAGAGGCTCGGTTCGAGAAGCTGGGATCTGGGACGGACCAGCATTCACGTTGTGGGGCACGCCTCGAGTCGTGTTGTGACGTGGACGACGTAACCATTGGTGGAACAAGCCAGCAAACGGCAAATGTTTTTGCCATGGCAAAAGAAAGCCAAGCCTCACAGATAACATTTCAGGTTGGCGATGTTTTCGCACTCGACAGCCACAATGCACCCACACACCATATATTTCTCCGCATCGACCCCTCTGGTGGACGAGCAGGTTGTAATGAGCGAACCTTGGGCTCCCAGCTATTATGTGCAAGCTTGTCAGTGGCCTCGAAACAAAAACTCTCATTGAGATCTTTCATTACTGATTCTTTGTGTAGCCGTTACTTTGGACTGTGCAGCGGTTTAGGGAACTCGAGGTGACAATCTGCATCCATGCGGGTAATTTCTAAAAAATAGTAAGTGTATGGTATAGAAAATTGTGTCCTGTTCTCTGGGTATCCGGACTGGATAAAACATGACCACTCCCGTCATTTCACGTGCCACCAGTGTCCCTGTTCCCATGAGGCAGCCCACTTCCCAAGCCTCTTGTTCCCGTAGCCCTTGCTAAACATCGCTCGTAAGCACAAACCTTGGCGGTGATATCGCAACCATACACGTGGACTGTGAGAAGCATCGGACTGATGGTCGATCTCCGCACAGGCTCTCCCAATGGCGAATTGTTGCCCAGAAGCGCCCACCTGTCCCATAGATCGCGGGCTACGTGTACCAGCTTTCCAAACCAAGGTTTGAGAAGCAAATAGTTACACCTAATAATGCCCAAAATATATCTCACTTGGTAGAGTCGGTAGCTCTCGGAAAATCTCAGCGGAAACGGGTCGTCAAGCCTGACGACCCTCTGACGACTTGACGACATGCTGCCCCGGGCAGAAAAAAACTAAAACCCCATCGGATGGCATGCCATCCGAGGGAGCCTCAACCCTAAACACCATGCCTCCCCGCGTTTAGGGTTGAGGCTCCCTGACCGGATGCATGCCCGTCTGGGATTTATTTTTTTTTGCCCGCGGGCAGCGAGCTCCCCCGGGCGGACTCGCTTGTCCGCTGAGATATACCATTCGGTAGCGCTACCGTTTCGCTAGACGACGCTACCGAGTGAGTCAGCATGCTGACCGCGGGAAAAAAACTAAAACCCATGGCTTACTGCATGCCATTCGGGAGCCTCGACCCTAAAATTTTAGGGTTGAGGATTGGCATGCCTTCCGAATAAGTTTTTTTTTTTTTTGGTTGCGAAGCAATCCTTTAAGATCGATTTTGACAAATTTTACTTTCATGTAAAAAAAACATGGAAAAAAATTCGTATGCTACAGTTCCAACCTTCCCATTGTGCATATATTAAACTCATTTTTTCTTTATTGTAGTAGTTTTGTGCATAGATGCTGTACTGTTTGCATTATATTATTTTCCTGTTTGATGGGACAATTTCAATAAATGTTAAGAATATTAATAATGAAATACACACCACGCATGCTTAAATGAATGCAATGAGACAAGATATATAAATGCATAATACTGATACATGGATGGAAATGCTTTTGTATGCATGCTAAATGCTAAATGCAACATACCGTCAGCCCCCGGATAGAAGCGCCCCTGGGGGTATAAAAAAACACTGTTTTTTAGGGGGTGCGCTTATAATTGAGGAATTTTATAAGAGCCGGCGCTTATAAAATGGCAAAGCAAGTTTATATTTGTTTTACACCAATCTGTACACCTTGTTCTGCCAATTGTAATCGAGTCGAATATATCTGGGGTCGCGAATCTGATTCTCGCGCAACTTACGGTAGCAGGGATGTATTCCCTGCCAACACATGCTGACTAAGCGACAGCAAGTGCTGACTAGACGCGCAGCAAGTGTGATGTGAGTGGGAAAGTGGACCTGTACTTCGATTCCCTGGTAAAGAGAAATTCGTTTCTGCGTTTCGACTGATTTTCAGATTAAAAAATAGACATGCGCTTATAATAAATCAGAATTTTTTAAGGGGTGCGCTTATAATCGAGGACCGGATATAAGCGCCCTCATCCTTTTATAAGCGCCGGCGCTTATCCGAGGCCTGCGCTTCTATCCGGGGGCTTACGGTACCAGCATATCATCATCATCATACCCTAAACCCTAAACCCTGCAATGATAAATGAAAAAAAATGCACACTCACACACAAATAAACACATTCACACATTTACAGAAGCACGAACACCGGCAAAACCAGCAAAAAACATGCGATAATAAATAACATGCAAATCAACGTTAAAATGACATTTTGGTAAATCCTATTAGTGACAAATGCGCATTTTCCAGATAGAAATCGCATTTCTGACCAGCAGGCTCCTGCGAAACGGGTTCAGGAAACGATACAGTAAACGAAAGAAGAGAATATAACGAAATACGGAGAACAAGAGCGAGAGAGAGAGAAAGAGGACGAGAGAGAGAGAGAGGACGAACTCGAGAGAACGAACGAGAGAGAGGACGAACGCGAGAGAACGAACGAAAGAGAACGAACGAGAGAGAATGAACCTAAGAGAGAGAACGAGAGAGGGAGAGAACTAGAGAGAGAGAACGAGAGAGAGTGAGAGAACGAACGAGAGAGAAAACGAACGAGAGAGAGAGAGAACAAGAGAAAGAGAAAGAGAGAAAGGGAACGAGAGAGAGGGAACGAGAGAGGGAGAACGAGAGTGAGAGAACGAGCGAGAGAGAACGAAAGAGAGAGAGGGAGAACGAGAGAATGAGAACGAGAAACAGAGAACGAGAACGAGAACGAGAGAATGAGAACGAGAAATAGAGAACGCGCGAGAGAGAGAGAACGAGAGAGAGGGAACGAGAGAGAGAACGATAGAGAACGAGAGAGAGAGAACGAGAGAGAGAGAACAAGAGAGAGAGATGAGATAGAGAGAGAGCAAATTCATAACTACGGTTTCAAAAGAGCCTATGTAGTATTCAAAATATGACGGTTAGAAGGATGTGACGGTTCTAAACCGAATAAAAGCAAAAGGTGAAAGAAAAATGGATTCAAAACAAGGGAGAGAGTATGAGAGAGAGGGAGGACGAATGAGAGGAAACGAACATTGTAGCTGTCGGTGCTGCTCGTGGCGCTCCTCGCACCCCCATCTTTGAGGGGTGTTCTCCCTCTCCCCTCGCTCCCTCCTACGCTGCTGCTGCTGCTGTTGACTTCCTTGGTGCTGAGTCTGTTGGCGCTGCTTCTACTCCTGGTGGGAGGCGCCGCACCGGCAAGGGCAAGGGGGGCAAAAGTGGTGGTGGTGGCACTGGGGGGGGAGGAGGTGGGGGAGGTGGGGGGGGAGGCGGTGCTGGAGGGAGCGGTGGCGGGAGCGCTGGTGGGAGTGGGGTCGGTGGTGGAGACGGGGGCGGCGGAGGAAGCAGTGGCAGTAGTGGCGGCGGCGGCGGTGGCGGCGGTGGCGGTGGTGGCGGTGGTGGCGGTGCCGGTCGGAGCGGTGGTAGTGGTGGCGGCGGAGGTCGGAGTGGAGGCACTGGCTCGGGCCAGAGCTCCCAGCAGCAGCAGCGTCCCCAGACGACCCAGCAGCTTCGTGAGTGGCTTGCTCAGCGTGGGACGTCGGGGGCCAGTGCCCGCTGTTCTTATGTCATTCGCACAGGTGACCGCAAGGGACAGACGTGTGGGAGGTTCCACACCCCGTACCGCTGCTTCTCCCGCCTTGACGACGCTTGGCGTGAGGAGATGGGTGCGGATGTTGAGCGCCCCCGCTGGGCTGAGCTCATGAGGGCTGGTGTTGATGTCTTTGCTCTTGACTATGATGCTATTATTGCTGCCATGTATGCATTGACTGTTAGTGCCGAGGGAGACTGTTACTTGTGTGTGCCGCCTGACCCAGGTATAGAGCCCGCTGCCCTGGGTACTAGTGAGTCTGCTCTCTCTGGTATGGTGCCCCCTGTACTTGCTCCCCCCAGTGCTGTCCTGGCTGGTTTCGAGTCTGCTCTCTCAGGTACAGCACCCACAGAGACACCTCTCTCAGGTACCGCACCGGCTGAGGCCTGTCACACCTTCACCCTTGACTCAGGTGCTTCCCGTTGCTTCTTCCGTGACAGTACTGAGCTCACACCGCTTCCTGCACCGGTCCCAGTCTCCTTGGCTGACCCCTCTGGGGGCCCAGTCCTTGCCCAGTCCACCACTGTCCTCCCTTGTCCGGCGGTTCCGTCTGGCTCGTTGTCGGGTTTCCACCTCCCCTCGTTCTCGACGAACCTGGTGAGCAACGCTGTCCTCCAGGATCAGTGGGTTGACACCTTTACCCCTGGCGGACAGCGTGTGGCGATCTGCACGTGCTCCAGGACCGGCCGTCACCTGGCTACGTTCACCCGTCGGCCGGGGTCGAGTCTCTACACACTGACCACTGCGTCTAGGGTTTAGGGTTTAGGGTTTAGGGTTTAGGGTTTAGGGTTTAGGGTTTAGGGTTTAGGGTTTAGGGTTTAGGGTTTAGGGTTTAGGGTTTAGGGTTTAGGGTTTAGGGTTTAGGGTTTAGGGTTTAGGGTTTAGGGTTTAGGGTTTAGGGTTTAGGGTTTAGGGTTTAGGGTTTAGGGTTTAGGGTTTAGGGTTTAGGGTTTAGGGTTTAGGGTTTAGGGTTTAGGGTTTAGGGTTTAGGGTTTAGGGTTTAGGGTTTAGGGTTTAGG